ATTGTTTTTAACATCTACTGAAAGCAGCTAACACAGAACTTTTCTTCCACAATTTTGCCAGAGAGACAAGCGATACATTGATGGAGATATCATTTTAGGAAGGCAAGATATTGAAAATAATTAATCAGCACTGGCACGTTAGTTTGTCTAATACTATCTACATTTCCTGAAGGTTCTTGGTACCTGGAGTGTTTACCACAAATTAATTGTAGTATCTCTGTCCCTGCATGCAGCAGACTGTCACGCTTTTCTCCTTTATCATAAATTGTACGTAATGCCTTCAGCTTTTTAAAACAATAAAACCAGAGAGAAATCTTAAGAATGTGGTGGGAGGTAAACCTAGCTGCTTTCCTTCCCAATTTAACTGATATGTACTGGAATTAAAGTATTTCCAAGATAGTGGATTAGTCATTGGCAGCCTTCAGGAGAATGATGATACAATTATATGAAACATCATTTGTCATATCATTACGCATCCCTTGAAATGTTCTTTATTTGAGAATAAGAAAGGATGCTGGAATCTTTAAAATTCAGCACCCACACAAGAGCTAAAAGTAGCTCTTTTACTGTCTGACACCTACATCATTCCTATTCAGATAATAGCAATAATACCGAGACAGACTTTCAGATGCTCTCTCTTAATTCATCTAATGGTTCCATTAATGATATGTTATCCAAAACCTGCGGATTAAATAGTGATTACAGTTTTCACAAGAAATCATTAAGTGTCATGTCTTTGTGGTTGGGAAAGAATGATGGGAAAAAGTTTAAAACTGTGTTTTCTAAGCCTGGAAATCTGGGAATGACAGAGATGAGAGGAAAGGAAAGGGATGAAGGGGCTTGGAGTAGAAATAAACTAAATAGTCCTAGCACAAAAATAATGGAAGTAAAGAGAGCTTCGTATGACTCTTTGGAATGGCTAATTCCCTCACTGCTTTGCTAGTCTCTTCTGTCTTGCAGAAGCTTTACTTTGTGCACCACTGACCCAAGTGAAGATAGCTGTTCAGGGACAGCATGTGGAAACAACCCATGAGTCCTAATTCTGGTTTTACTGTTAACTTACTGAAATTGCTATATTGCAGTTTCCATTGGCAAATGATTAAATTCCACAAACTTCACATTTAATTTACATTGCTATCAATTAATACGAAGACTGTAAAGAGCTCATCAAAAAACAAATTGAAGTGGAAGCATACTTTTTGTTTCCTCAAGGAACTTCGTAATTAGAGCTTTGTAAACAAAAACATAAATGGCAACAGTCGGTCTTTTTAGAGCAAGCTTTGTCTTGGCTAATACATAAGACCTTAAAAAAGTAGGGGTAACTCCTTTGTTAAGGAGTTAACACTAAAAGCTGGTTAGAATTTTAATGTCAAGCATCCAGCTCATTAGATTAAAAAGATAGCTGAGCAGTAATGTGGCTTTGTTCCTGTACCAGAATGTAGACGACATTTAAATATCACAACATAAGAAAACCTTTTTGATCTGATACATATAGTCATAGCTATCACAAAAACGTGCCAGTGTGGATTTATGTGGTGGCTGTACCTTTTCGGCTCTCTAGCTGACAACACGTGACAGCTATAAACCATGCCTGCCAACATTTGAGATCTCTGAGAGGGTGGGACATTGTGAAACGTGTCAGTCTTGAAGAGCTTTCCAAAGGGACAGGGTGAAAGCAAGCTGGGGCAATTAGCATGCAAGAAGCCAGCCAGCGGGTGCACGTGCCCACCACGTTCATCACTGAACTGCTCGGCTCTTCATACTTCTTTATAACTCAGGGAAGTCCTAATGAACTCAGCACCAGCCGTGAATCACTGGCAGGAATCGCTGCTGGTTACAAGCCAGCTGGGCTCTGCAGAAGCGCTGCCGGAGTTAGGTGGGGATGTACACATTAGCTCTGCTGAAATCCTAGCTGTCCAAGAGGTCTGGGGGTTCTCTGACCCAGCGTACTGCTGCAACTCCACTGAACCCACACCCGTCAGGTCCGGGGAGTCTTCTCCACCCTTGCCAGCGGAGCAGCCGGCAGACCTACAGCGGATGCGCCCTTACAACTGTTTGGTAAGGCGCTGGGCTTGCTCCTTGTTTGAGCTCACCGAGACATAATTAAATCCATAAAACGTACGTGCAAGGAACAAGATCGTTTGCTGTCTTCCATCCTGAGGCGGCAGACAGCAGGGAGGCTTTTTAGAGCTAAATTTGTCTTCACTAAGGCATAAGTGACCTTGAACAAAAGATTTTGAAGGAAACAAGACCCTAACAGAAGAGCCTGCTGAAAAGCTGGAGGATGGAGGAGGTAAATTACGCTCTGACTCAATTCCTGATGCTCAGGACCACGTGGGCACAAACTGCAATAAATTCAAATATAAGGAAAAGCTTTTTCTTTTGCTGTTAAGAGCTGTCAGACCCTGGCACAGCTTGCCCAGAGATGCTGTGGGGCCTCTACCCCGGCGATACCCAAACCCTGAGGGGACAGGGCCCTGGACCTCCAGCTCTGGGTGACCCTGCTCAGGGCCCCAGGAGGCTGCACCGTACCATGTCCTGGAGCCCCATCCCACCTCCGCAGCCCTGGGTCTCCATGGCTTGTGCCACAGCCCTGACAAATGGCCCCCACAGCTTTACATGATCTGGTCAGTTTTATGTGCCGGGGGCGTGCCGTGGGGCACCAGGCACCCACTTCAGCAGCACAGCCCGGCTCCCCTGACTTCGCAGGGTGGCAGGAACCAGAAAACTTCCTCCGAAGAGGCTGGGCAGGCCAGCTTTAAGGGCCCGGTGCCCCACACCTCGGCACGAACACCACTCCGCCACACGCCCGCCCCGCCATTTTGAGCTCCCTGCCGCGCCCCCACCAGCCCCGGCCCGGTGCCGCCTGCAGGGCCGCTGGGAGCCGTCCAGGGGGCGCTACCGCGGCGGCGTGCAGCCGCGGCGCCTCTCTTGGCGCACTCCCTGGCCTGCCGGCCGGTGCCGTGCTGGCGGAGGAGGCGTTGCTGTGGTAGCGGCGGGCACTGCCGCCGCCTTGGGCCTGCCGGGCCGGGGCCGGGGCCGGTCGTGGAGGCGAGGAAGATGAACCTGCCGCGGGGCCCTGAGAACCTCTGCTTTGACAAGGACGAGTTCATGAAGGTGAGCGGGGGCTGCGGAAGGGCGCTGTGCGCCCGGGGGGGGCCTCCTGAGGAGCGGAGTGGCGGGTTCCCTGGGGCGGTGAGAGGGGCCCGGAGCCTTGGGCCGGGATCTTTGAAGCTCCACCATGGGATTTTTTTTTGCCCCGGAGAAGCGCTGAGTGTGTCACTGAAAGGGGAGGGGGGATCCGGGCCGTTTGCAAAACCAGGCGGTTTGCACCTCGGGGGTTGTGTCCAAGCAGGGTCTGCGTCTGAGCCTGGCGAGGCTGAACCGGAGTCGGAGCGGAGGGGGAGGCCTGCCCGAGGAGAGAGCCGGCGGGTTTTTAACCGGGGGATCCGAGTGCCTCTGTCCCGGGCCGGGGCCGGGTGCTGCAGCTCACCTCCTCGGGCAGGTCCGAGTCATAGTTCCTCCAAATCGCCCTCGGCGTGCTTTGGAGCCAAGTTGCAGGTAGACTGAGAAGCAGCGTTTAGGCCTCGTTGCTTGGAGAGGTTAAAGTAGTTCGTAATACTGTATTTCGACTTGTGGCTGGTTTTGTTTAAAGCGTATACAGGGAATACACAACCCTGTATTTTGGAGAGCTAGTGTTTTAGTTACCCTGACCCACGACATTGTGTGCTTTTCTGATTAAAGACCAAGACTTCGGGAAACTGCTACCTTAAGTAGCCTTTTTGCCCCCCAGAGCTTTAGTTTGGTGCACTCTCTGGTATATGGAATACTTTATTTTGGGGCGGGGAGGGTTGTGTTCCTGGCTTGAACTTTTTACTTAGATCCTTCTCTCTTTCCTGTTTCGTTTTCAGCCGGATTTTGATGTTGATCACTTTGTATCAGACTGCAGGAAACGTGTGCAGTTGGAAGAGCTCAGAGAGGATCTGGAGCTCTATTACAAACTCCTTAAAACTGCTATGGTGGAACTCATAAATAAGGACTATGCAGATTTTGTTAATCTCTCAACAAATCTAGTAAGTGTTATTCAGTTGTACTGTGTAGTTCAATCTTAATGCAGTTTAGTGGGCTTTTTATTTTTCACATGAAAACTTTAGGCCTTTTATTTTTCATTGTTAGAATTAGGATGTCTTGAACTGTGACCCCTTGCACTAAGAGAAACTGAAAGACCTTCCTGTAGAACTTAGCTACTGTACAGAATTGCTGTTGGCCTGTAATAAATGCTTTAGACATATGCTTTTTGTCTTGAAAAACTAATTCATTAGGAAGTCAGACTCAAGGCAAGCTTTTTGTTCAAACTGCCAGTAGTTGTAAAATTGAAGGAAATAAATAGTTAAAATAGAATAGGAATTATACAGATAAGGCCATTCTGAAGGATTCTTTTAGGAATCTTTAAACTTACTATACAGTCAATATATCTTAAAAAAAACCCCAAACAACCTGCTTGACTGAAAATTGTAATCATTTTCATATTAAAATGTCTGGGCCACTGTGTCTTCTGCTCTTTCACCCCAGTTCATCCAGGTTCCAGTTATACAGGTTCAAAGATTGATATTTAACATTTTTATGGGTAGAAAAATTTCCATAGGTCAAGTTTTTCTTTAATTTTTGGCTTTGTGTGACAAGCAGTCTGATATATTTATGCCTGTATTTGAGGTTACATATTTTTGCGTTGCATTTAAAACTGGAGACTATGAAGGGATATCTTTTCTCGGTTCTTTTTTAGTATCTGTAAAATGATAGGCTTTGTCAGTAATTCCCATATGAAGTTATCAAAAAAGTAATTAATATTTTTATTCTAATTTCTTTAGGTTGGCATGGACAAGGCTCTTAATCAGCTTTCAGTACCCTTGGGACAGTTAAGGGAAGAAGTTATGGTATGCTCAAAACGATCATTATACACAGCTTGGTAAACTTCAGCTTGCTTTCATACGATGTACAGAATGTCTTTTACTCATATTAGTAATTATTATAATAAACTCTTTGAAAATTGATGACTTAGAGTGGTAGTAGGAGAGGCATTGTGTTTTCAAGCAGTTGAAGTAGCACTAAATTTACATTTTCTATAATGCCTTTCAACCAAGAGATAAAGGACTCCTTAAACGTGAAAATGAATGGACTCTTGCAGGACAAGTCTGTGGTGAAATACTGAAACTGTTTTAATATTTGCATAACTTAAAGATGGTAGTAAATAACTCAGATGCAACACAGTCCCATTAAGGACTCTTTTTGCTCAGTCCTGCGGTTTAACCATAAAAGATCACCCCCTTGAAGGTGAGTCTTATCTGGCTCTTCCACAGTGACTTGGTATTTAGCAAAGGGCAATTTTTTATCATCTTGGCAGACAGTTCAAAAGGATGTTTGCTGCATAAATGTGCCTTCAAAATATCACCTTGATGTCTAAAACAGCAAATAGGTTCAGTTAGCATAGAGAAATATTTATTATGTGAAAAATGCTACTTAAATCTGATTTATAACTTCAGTTTCAAGACATAAAATCATATTGGTTTTATTGCCTGTTTCTGGGTGAAAGGTGGTTTGTTCTCTGTAAGGTACTGAAAGAACACTTCCAGTTGAAATAGTGATATTTGTGATAGCAGTACTTAAGGAGCAGATTACACTTTCAGTTATTTAGTCTTATTTCTGGCTTTTTCACTTAGAGGGCAGTTGATGTATTGTAGCTTTTATTAGTCCTATATTTTTATTTATCTGTCTCCTGGTTTAAGTTTAGATATTTGAGTTAAGGGGTTTTTTAAACCTGGCTGGAAAGCGAGCTTGACATATTGACTTTCTCTCTCACAGAGTCTTAAGTCATGTGTCAGTGAAGGAATTCAAGCGGTAGATGACCGGATGGCTAAACAAGAAGATATTAGAAGAAAAAAGGTACAACAGATAAATTATTACCTTGAAAAGATCCTCCTTAGGATGACTTTGTTTTTGTCGTTAACCCAGAGAGAGTGAAATTTTAAAAGTTCTAGGCTGTCTAGATGCACACTGTGCAGGATTTTGTACGTGTAAAAATAATTGTTGACATTTTGGTTGACAGACTTCATTTTTTACAGTGTCTAGTTGATTATAAATCTTTATTTTACTTTATTTGCCAAAAACATATTTGTTTGATTTGGTTGGGGTTTTTAAATTATAGTTACTCTTGTTTCTGCTTGTAGTAGTATATAAACTTGCTTATTATGAACGTAATTGAAATACAGCAGTTTAATTTTTATACGGGGACACACACACCAACACTGTCCTTGTGCTTAACTTGGAAAAAAATCAGGGATAAGAACAGCTGTTCTATGTCTGTGACAAATGTTTGTTTGTGGGGGTTTGCGGACTTATGTGAACAATACTTCAACTGAGACATGACTCAAGTATTAAGATGGAGGAAGAAAACTTTTACACCAGCAAAAAAACCCCAAACCTAAAAAACAGTCCAAACTATCTTTAGGGTCATTAGGTAATGTAAATTGGGATTGGGGTCAGACATGAAAAATCTTTCTTCAATTACAGATGTGTGTCCTGAGACTTATTCATGTTATTCAGTCTGTTGAGAAAATTGAGAAGATTCTACATTCCCAAGGCACTAAAGAATTGTCCTCATTAGAGGGAAACAGGTAAAAAATACGTAATGTTCAGTTTTGTTTGTAACTGTGGACTAACTTAATTTCATGGTATTGTAGATGAATTTACAAGCATTAGGATATATGTTTGGAAGAGTAACTCTGATGGAATAAGTGACTGTTATATTAGTATTTTCTCAGTTTTAGTCTTCTGCAAACTGGTCATTCACAGAACATGTAACTTAGCCTCCAAAGTTCTGAATTACTTGTAGTGCTTTCAGTAAACATTAAGTTTGCATGCAGTAATTTTTTTTTTTTCTTGGAAGTCACTAATCCTGTTGTGTCTGAAATACTCTCTACGGTATAGTTCATTCCAATATCATTTGGAAGTAAAATGGGATATAGCGTTTCTCATTTTCTTTGCTTATGTATGACTGAAAGGACTGTTGGAAGAATAGTCTGAAGTAGGCAAGCCACACATGTAATGCTTCTGGTACAAGGAAGGTTTGTGACAAATTCCAGTCACACTTCCAAGTTTTGTTTTTTAACAACTACATGGAAAGTGTCCTCTCCCTCTGCCTTTGCTGAGGGATGGAAGATGTCTTTCAGCCAGTTTTGGAACTGATGTACCAGCCACACGCTTGAAATAGTTGACTGGGATGCAAGTGCAACTTAAGCTGGAGGAAAAAAGACAATTTTGTGAATGAACCTCTTTGCATGTGAGACTGTCTCTTCAGTTTAGTGCACTGGATCACATGGTAGTGAGTGGGGGGAGGTAGACAGAAGAATAGGTTGATACCTAGAGGGACAAAGCATATGCAGATGTTTTCAGTCAGGGTGAGGCACTTTGCAGAATTATGTTTGGAAGCAAGGTTGTACTCCAGTGGCTGAAAATTTGGCTAATTACTGGGAGTATGTAGACCTGAGAAGGGTAGGACTGTTTCTCTAGAGATAGCTGTCATTAGTTTTACCACATAAAGGGAAAATAAGAAACAAATCTGGATGGTGAAGAGCACTTACTGCAGTTTCTGAGCTCTGCAAGACTGACTTTTCATGTAACAGTAAACAGCACTGCCATATAGAAGAAAGTGCTTCATGCTGCTGAGGCAAGATCTTATAGTTCCTCTCAGCTTCTGCTTCACCTACTTCTTATCTTAGTAGCTCCAAAACAACTCTAATCATGTGGTGTGTTCCAGACTATTATTGCATGATTGCAATAATTGTGGTAGTACCTATCAGAATTCCAAATATTTAGAGTAAACCACAAACACTGGGGGAGAGCATTATCTATTTACTGCACGTGAAAGTGAGTTGATTTGAAAGGATCTAACTGTGTAGTCTCATTTTGTATCATCTCTCTTCTAGCCCACTTTTAACTGGACAAGTTTTAGAGAGAATTGCCACAGAATTTAATCAACTACAATTTCATGCAGTACAAAGCAAAGGAATGCCCCTTTTGGACAAAGTGAGACCAGTAAGTATTGCACGATAGCCAGCTTAACACTTGTGAGATCAAACAAAATCCATATAATGGGAAGACAAATGCTTGTTTCCACAGAGTTGTATTGAATTAATTTAGGGGGGTAAAAGGGTTTCAAGAGGTCATTTTTATCAGTTGACTAGAAGTATTGCTGCTTCTGAGGGTTTGTGCTTTGTTTGCTAACTTCTGTAGGATAAATTACTTAGAATAAGAGTAGGAAATACAACACATATTTTTGTCAGCCGAATGTATCTTGCAGTTTGTCTGCTTACTAATACTGAGGCCCAGTTCTAGAGACTTATGTTGGTTTTGTTAGCTGCAGTGTACAGACCAGAATATAAAGGGAATGTGCCTACAGAGTGGCTGGCTTGAATGTACTCAGGTTTATCTTTTGGTGAAATTTCTTGCCTAACTCTGGCTATTCAGGCTGGTATACTGATCTCCCTGTTTTTAATAATTATCTACTGTAAAAGATTAATTGATGTTTTGGTGGGGTTTTTTCTTCTATCCATTCACTGGAGAGAGGGAACAAATGGAAACTGGTGCTTAAACATAGATATTATGGGTATGGAGACAGGGCAATGCTTTAAGCTGATTAGCATGGAGCTGTCATTTCTTGTGTGTTATTGTGTGGCTTCCTTAATGATGCTTGCCAGGAATTCTGTCCTGTACCTGTTGTTGCTAAGAGTCATCAGACCATAGGTTTCATGACTAGTCAGCAATTGGATTACTGACTTCACATGTACAGAGCAAATTCTGTGGAATCATTTTACAATGGATGGACACAATACAGCATGCGAAAAGGCAGAGAAGAAATTTGGTTAAATTGGTAGTTCAACTGGGACTACATTAATGTGTGTTGCTGAACTTGCTTCAAATACAGAGTTGTAAGGGACCATCTTGGGCCAGGAGTGTATCTGCAGGTAGTGTAGCAATGAGCTGGATCTAGCAGAAGAGATGTAGCAGGAGATCAGGAAAAATGGTTAGCAAAAGGGAGAATATATGTTGACTGAAGCAGCTGTTAGGCAGAAGCCAGAAGGAATCTAACGACGTGTCATTTTTTTTGCCAATGTCACTCGATGTCTTTGGTTTGCAGTAATTTGACAAGTAGTGCTGAGAACACACTATCATTTTAGTTTTTGACGGTGAGGGATAAATGCCACAGTTGTTATCCCTGGTGACTTACTGTAAAGCTTTTGTGTATTATCATACATAGTGGTTCAGTTGAACAAGGAACAATTACTAATGTATTTCTTCAGGTTAAAGGGGACCTTAGGTAAGTTACCCCATAACTTACAACATATAGAGGAAAATAATTGCCTTTAAACCTTATTGCAATAAATACTGTGTTAAATAGCATCAGTAACCCATTCAGCTTGTGTTAATGTTCATTTAATGCTGACAGTTATCAAAACTTGTGCATCTTTCAAATGAAAATGGAAAGCTGAGTTAGGTATTTCTGGAAGAATTTACTTCAGCAATGCTGGCAAGGCTTTGCTTTTGGTTTTTTATTACTATATTTTGTTTCCCTTTATAGCGTATAGCTGGAATAACAGCTATGTTGCAACAGTCTCTGGAAGGGCTGCTCTTGGAAGGCCTTCAAACTTCAAATGTTGACATAATACGTCACTGTCTTCGCACTTATGCAACAATTGACAAAACACGAGATGCAGAGGCATTAGTTGGTCAAGTGCTTGTAAAACCTTACATAGATGAGGTAAGATAAAATCAAGAATCCTAAGAAAATGAACTGATTTGCAAACATGCTTATTTCTCCTGTTAACCTCCAGCTTTCATTAGCAGCTTCAAAATGCCTTCATGGAGAGAGCAGGAGAACTGAGCCCCAACACGATGTCAATTTGTTTGTTGTTGCTATTTAAGAAAAAAGGGTGGAGGAATTCTCTCTGTCTGTCACCAGTTTCAGGTTATATCCAGTTGGGATTCTTTTTCTTACCTACATTTTTCTTGGGGCGAGGAATCCAAAAAACAAACCTTAAACCAAGCATATGACTAGAGTAAAATCCAGTTTATTCTGGACCAAGGTGCATCTGTGGGAACTGGATCGGATCTAGGGTTTGCATTCCTCCATGGCTGGCTCAGTAGCAGGCAAACGCAGTAAAAGTAGTTCTTAGTGCAATGTCCTTTTCCCATTGTATGAAGAAGCAGTTTCTGCAGTTCCCAGCTGTACCAGGGCATTAGCAAGAGCAGGAACAAGTGTTTGTTTGGGAAGCATTTGCTGTTGTCTGGTAGGAAAAATGTGTCAGATGGCCAGTTTCTCAATTAACAAGAAACTGATTTTAGTAGGCCATCAGTTTACAATACTGAGTTGGACCAATCACAAAGCACTGATTGAATTTTCTGAAATTAGGGGACTTTCTGCTAATTCTCTTCACTGTGCAACTTGTTCCTCGCTTTCTTTTAGCACCATTTGTTCTTACCATTTCTTGTGGCCTGAACAGTTAGTGACTAGTCGACTAGTCTACACTACTTTTTTTTCTTTTTGTTGTGGTTGATGATAATGTAATTCCTAAAAAAAAAACCCAAAAAAAAAAAAAAAAACCAAAAACCCACAGACAGTAACCTGCCACAATAGTGTAACAGTCAGCAAGTCAGTCAGTTGTGCTCAATTCTTCTTGTATATCAGCACATCTGCAGTTGCCACTAAAAAGCCTACAATTATATTATGGTAACTCTAGTTTCAAGCTTCAAGTAAAAATCTAAAAATTCATTTTAAGATATGTCATAGTCTGCTGTGTTTGAAATGACTTGATGAAACAGGTTACATTTTTGATGAATGTTGCTGTAATACCAAGACTTCTTTTAACGCTTTTCATTAGTGTGTTGTGAATTATGTCCAGGTTGGGTAACAATTCCATATCATTTCAGAGGATATTTGTTCCCTACTGAGATCTGAATCAGTGCCCTTTTACAATGTAATTACTAGTGCTGCCTGACTGCCCTATTGCAGGAAGTTTCCCTGGCTTTCACTAGAATGTCAGAGTATTTCATAAATGCATTAAATTCACTGTCCTTAAAGAAGTTAAACTGGGCCAGCACCAGGGCTATAAAGTTGTTGTTCTAAAACTAGCCTTATGAATCTTTCAGCAGTATTAATTTTCTGCTCCTCTGAGGAGGAAAAACTGTAAAGTACAAGAGCTGCCTTGGCGGTTGCAAATATACACTTGCTTGAATTTGTGCATGTTTACAGAAGGCGGAATAGCTCTTGCCCTCATCATCCCCTGTGTAATACATAGCACACTTCAGTGGCTTTGAGTCCCAAGTTATGCTATTGATGTATCTTTCCCTTTGCTGTCAAGATTTTCTTTTACTGTCGTTACTCTTCAGATTGAGATATTCAACAGTGTTCTCTGTGCTCAGTAAACCATGAGAAGCATGTTGTGATGTGAGGTACTTCTTTCTGCTTTCAGGATATTTAAAACAGTTCGTTCTCTACTGGTATTTTATAAAAAAAATGAGACTGCTTACAGTATAGAGTTAACCATTTTTATTAAGACCCAGGAAAGCAATGTGAACATTGTTTCTAAAAGTATTGAATATGTTTCTGCAGACAATAATACAGTTGCTTTTTCTTACACTGATGTGCCTTTCTGAACATAAATGCAAAAATGACCTTAAGGTATTTGCTTCTTTTTTTCATTTTGGGGGCTCTTTGCCCCAGTGTTCCCAATCAAGCAAGTGAAGAGTTAATCTGTATAACTTTTGCTGAAGGAGATGTTCTTCTAAATCAATATAGGGAAAAGAAATTACTTTTTTTCCACTCGGTAATCAGCAAGAGATGGACTTGTTACTTTCCCCTTCCCTGTGAAACAATAGTAAGTCTCACAAGATCTGAGCTGTATGTCACTGTCAGTAGGATGTTTCTTTCCTGCTGTTGGGAAGGAAACATTTAAAATTATTCTGGTTTTACTTTGTATGCATACAGATTACAAGGCAAAGCCAACTCCTAGCTTTTGGATGGGAGAGGGAGTCAAATGGTGGTGACCTCTCCTCTTAAGGACAAACTTTCTTTGGGTGCTTGCTAATGCTGTAGCAACTGCTACAGGTAGTCTTCCCCTCTTGGTTTTCTCAGTATCTATTCTTTCCCCACTTCTGCACCATTCCGCTTGTTTATGTAGCAAGAGGCAAAAGTGTTCAGACAAGTGGAAGAATACCAAGAAATACAAGCTATTGTTCTTCTCCTGTGTTGTCCAACTACTGTCTGCTTTCTCTTTATGGCAGAGATTATCCCTTTTCACTGAATATGAGGTACTGTCTGGACAAACTGCTTTCCTAGCTGTGTTAAAGGCTTAGCATTGTCATGGAAGATTCTTGGCTATTGGCTTACCTGCGTTTGGGGTTGGACCAACAACCTCTACATTGAGAAGAAATTTTTCAGTTTATTTTGAAGTTTCATTAGCTTTTGCCAGTCACCTGTTTAACTTCACAGACTGCTTCAGGTGACAGCAATGTGTGCACTGTGTGGAGAGCCAGACATGGTGGCTAACATTTAGAAGGAAGGAGCTCATTCCCGTTCTTAGGGCCAGTCTTGTCAGTTAGAGTGCTACATTAAAGGAAGTAATAATTCAAGCTGGCAAGTTATAATTGGAAACTGTAATATAAAAAAAAAGTAATATACTGACTCTCCCAATATTTGGGATTATAGTGGTAGGAGTTTTGAGTGAGTCTTGCATTACAGTATTTTATATTCACTTTTCTGACATTTAATGTTGAACTCTTCCTGGCAGGTGATTGTGGAACAGTACGTTCAATCTCATCCTAATGGTCTTCAGGCTATGTACAATAAACTATTGGAGTTTGTTCCTCATCATTGCCGTCTCTTGCGTGAAGTAACAGGGGGAGCTATTTCAAGGTAAATATCTTGGGGTTTCTTTCAGTTGCGCTGAAGTTAGAGCAAGTATCATATACTTTTGAAATGCTTTGCATAATTAGCTTCCATGCGCAAACAACTTATCTGGCCTTTCCTGAAGATTCATAGTCAAGTTTGATTTCTCTCTCATGTCTCTGTTTTTCAAAACAACAGTGAACAAACTTCCTTAGTGCTGCAGTCCAGACCTTCAGAAGAGGGAAAGACAATCCTGTATTTCAGTAATAGAATTGAGTACTGTTCATAATACAATGTGTCTTATACCTTGGTTTTTTGAATCCATGAAATATGACTGTACATTTCATATAAGGAGAAGGGCATAATAATGCTATTAAAAAATATAAGCTCAAAAGTTATTGGGTTGTTAGTGCACATCAGAAAAGTGGGGAGTGATCCCCAGAGGTTTGACTGATTTATTGCATGCACTGGAGCTACAGGTTTAATTGATTTGTGCTTCCACTGTCTTCTCCAAAAGTGCTTAATTCCTTATGCAATTAAATTGCCTGTTTTGAAGTTTAAATAATTCAGGTCTACTGAATTGTATCCATTTATTCATCTGTTTGCAGGCTGGTTAATATAGTAGACTGCTGTAATTAGCAGAACTGTGGATGTAGCCCCTAGGGACTGCAGAATTACTTTTCTAATTAGTCATCCATTGCTGAGCTTTTTATGACTCCTAATTTTTACTAACATTTCAATTCTTTTAATGCCTCAGCAAGTTTTAATCTTTCTTCTTAATAATGGAATGTTTCTACTTTGTACTGTGGTGTACTGAACTGGAATTAAATGCTTGTATCTCTTCTACTCTCAATTTATAAATTTTCATAATCAAGGTAGCTTTTAATCTTTTGCTTCGAACCACAATATCATGTATAAATACAGCTTGGAACAGTTATGAAAAAGTTCTGCTTCTTTTCATTGCATTAGTCACATTACTCCTACTTAGTACCTCTTTGAAGTGTGGAGCTATTAAAACTTGAAATATACAAGTAAGAATAGGAGTTCTCAGCTGAAATATACTCATTTTCCAGAACACATTTGCAAAATATATAACTGATAAAATTTTAAAACACTGAGAGTTATAAAAAAATATCTTGCATTTGATGAGACTGTGGGATCAGATAAGAAACCTTGAAGGAAGAATGGTTTAAGGGAATCAGCATACCTATATAAAAAAAAACTTAATTACATTTTGTCTAATACAGTGCAGGTGTTTTTAGTTATCCCTACCTCCAAATAGAAGCCTGGTGGTAAAATATAACCATGGAATAACTGCAATTTCATTTCAGTGAAAAAGCAGATATTGTTCCTGGATATGATTTCTTAGTGAATTCAGTGTGGCCAGAAATAGTACACGGTTTAGAAGAGAAATTGCCATCGCTGTTTAACCCTGGAAACCCAGATGTGTTTCATGAGGTAATTAATTTTAATTATTTCCATTTGTGATTCCTTTGACACACACACAAGAATTGAATGAGTCATGTTCTCTACCTTTTTTTTTCCCCTGCTGCTTTTGTGTGAAGTCATGTTGTTGCATGGCTTGGAAGAGGAGGTTATCTCAAGCCACTTGATTTAATTTATATAGGAATTAATTCTCCCCTCAAGTTTGTCAGAAAGGCTCATACAGAAGTTATTGGAAGCCATTTAGTCATGTGAATTTGGCCTTAGTATTTGTTTTAGGAGTAGATGTTCGTTCTTAGTTGTAGAATTACAACATAAGTGAAGGTGGGAGTGGACTACTCCAGTGTTTGCCCAAGACTAGCACCTCTGTATAGCAAGGGCTCTCATGTTAATTAAATACCGGTGTTACAACTTGCTCTATACTATGGGAAGGTTAAAAAAATTCTTTGTTTCACTTGCTTGTTTCAGCTTTTGCTCTCTTTCAGAATTGCGGATTATGTTGTGATTAGAAACACAAGTCAACTAAAAGAAATAAAAATACTTGGAGGCAGTGTAGTATGGTTTAGAACATAAAAGAAGCATTTTCTCTGATATCACAACCAATTATGAAGCAAGCTTACATTATAAAATGAATTTAAAGTACTTGTCACTCTTGTATTTTCATCATGGGCAGTGCTGCTCTGCCTTTAATAGATCATCTTTTACTAATGTTGAAACTGATTTCTTGCTCTAGTATGAAGATTGGCTCTGGCAGAACTGTATTAGTATATCACAAGTAGAAAATACAAGCTTTCTGCTTTTCTTCATGTCCTGTCTCTGTATTTAATAATGATTGCTGAAATATTTGGATTTTTTTTTTTTTTCCTTGCAGCTTGACTTATGATTCATGCGAAACCTTTTATTTTCAAGATGGAGATGGCAGGCAGTGATAAATTGTCTGAAGGAAGGCATAGTAGGCAGATCAGGACAGATGACTTAGGGAAATATTAGATTGGTGGTGGAGGTTTATAAGACAAACGATTCTTCCTGTGTTCATGCAAAACTGCTTTTACTAAATACTTACATTTTTCTTGGAATTTAAGATCTCTGTCATACAGATACATTGAATAATTGAAGGCAGGCAGGCAGGCATTACAGTGAACGTTTGCAGGGCTGGCTCTGAATAAGAAGCAAATGAAATGGATGTTGAAGAAAGTTATGGTAATGCCATGCAAATGACACTATAAGGTGTTTGCCCACCCTGGTGAGAATACTTAGTTTCCCATAAAGTTTCAGTCACTCTTGAAGTTTTCACCTAATGCCCTGCATACTGCAAATTGTGACCTGTGCTGGGCTTTTGTCGCCTGTGCTGCTTGGTTTACACAAGAATGTATTTTATCTTCAGAAGAGTTGGGTTTGCTGTTTTAAATGAATTATTTTTAAAAGGCTGTCATCTTATATTAAGCTGATATTGACCAACAGTGACATTGTGTTTATTTAAAAAAAAAACAACAAAACACAACAAAACCAACGTAAAAACCCAACACCCCCCATGACTTTCAAGTAAATCATGTAGTAAGTCTAAAGTACTTTCCAGACTGCTTTTGACTGCTTAAGTGACTCAGAGTCTAAGTCATTAAAATATTTTATCTAAAAATCAATAAGAAGTTGAAATGCCAAGTGTAAAAATGCTGTTATGTCTATCTAAAGACAAATAGCTCTGAATTAAGAGGGGGTAAAAAAACCCTTTAAAATTGTTTCTGCACTGCCGATAACCCAAGTAACAGACCACAGATTTTAGACACTAATCTTCTATCTCTGTTTTCTAGGTTCATAGAAATGCAGAAAAGTCTTTTTCGCCAGGTTTGTTTGCATATGTATATATGTAGAGTTTTAATGCTGAAAAGTTTGGATATGCAGTATTATCTGTTAGGAGGTTTTTAGATGTAGAGCAGGGGAATGGAAAAATATTTTTTTAAGTCCTGTGAAAATCAGACTGGCAGTGTTAAGCACGTATGTTAAAATAACTACTTGTACAGAGTTTTTTTAAAATTGTTTCAGGTTGTCATGCCCTTATTTCTAAGTCAGATTTGTAGATTTACAGGTATTTGAAAAAAGTACTTCTTTTATCCCTAAACATTCATTTGAGATTTTTTAAGTTTAGATTCCTCTGAAAATCGCTCCATTTTGTTTCCCACTTTTTAGCTTCTCTTAAATAACTTTGTGCAGTCAATCCAATCCTAGAAGCTGAAATGGAAACCAATCTTGCAGTTAGTTCCCTCTCTTAGATATAATGTTATTGATAACTAGATAAACATCTCTTGAGTTGTCTTCTATTCTGAGAGTGATAGGTCTTCACAGAGTGTTTGGTTTATATCTCTGACTAATATTTCAGGTAGCAGAGCATTAACAGCTTGTTTGCCTTTGCACAGTGCTGGGTTTATTATCTAAGAAAGGAGGCCTGAAAGAGCACTAATCTGTCATTCATTCTGGATTTAACTCCCATACCTTTTACGGTTCCATTGTGTTATAAATACAGCCAAGTTGGGAGAAAAGTAGTTACCTAAAAGCTTTTGCATGCAATTTCTAGAATACTGCCTTGACACACTGGAACTGCCATGTCACAAGACAAATATGCTGTAATTATATGTTGTAACAGAAAGTCTTGAACTTACTGAGATACACAACACAAAAGTATGCCCATGTCAGAGTTTCTGAAAGCAGAACCTGTAAGCAGCAACTCAGGGGCTTCTCCTGAGAATGTTTTACTGCTTCTTAAGAGGCAAAATCACATCACTTGCGTAGTGCTCTGGATCATAGTAAAAGCCTTGTTGCTACAGCCTAACTGCTGCTTTTGCCTCAGTGAAGTCAGAAGCACTGAGAGATTCAGTCAGGCTTATTTCATTATTTCAGCAGTGTCTTATGAGCATGTATGATAGGTTTTATGGCTGTTTTCTATTTATTTTTTTTCTTTATAGAAGAAAATTGCACATAAGCCAAACTGTTTTTCATTGCACAGAGGTAGATTTTAACTGTAGCTGTATTTTGATTTTAAATTGATTTACATAACTTTTGTGTTCTGTTAGCAAGGTCTGTTTTGTGTGAAATAACATTTTAATGCACTATTTTGCTTCTGGTTTTCACTCAAGTGTTTGGCTTTCTGCTTTGTGTATGATTTAATTTATTATTCATTATTTTCAGGGTGTTGATAAGTTACTGTTGAGAGTGAGCCTTCAGTGTATTTGAGGATTAATGTAATTTCTCTTTGCTTGCAACTGACTTAATGCTATTTGTAAACATCTTATTAGAAATATACACTGGGTAAAGTTAGTTTATCTGAAACTGTTTAAAGTTCTTCTGCAAATATTTTGTATTTGCAAACCATATTTTTAGAGAAGGAGTTCTAGAAATTCCTGTAATACAGGCCCTATATAACAGAAAAAAAATACCATGCTTTCATTCTTGTGTGTGTTTGGCTATGTGTATTTCTGGGTTTTGTTCCTGATTACTTCTGTTTGTTGAATACCTGTATCTCCTGCAACTGACTGTTCTTAGTGCTGTGCAGCACTGTTGTTCCACCACAGTGATTCAGCTCAGAAATACTGATGCATGTCTCTGATCAGTTCTGCTTGTTCAGGATACTTGGACAATTCTATGCTTTTTAGAAGTGTCTTGCACTAGCTTTTCTTATCAGAGTAACACCTACTAGTTAATTGGTTTTGGTTTCACTGCAATCCAGGATTTTAGCCTTGTATGATTAGATGATGGGGGCAGTGTCAGCCCATTCTGAACATCAAGCTTAACTGTAGCATGATACAAGAGTTCTGCTGAATGGGTGGTGGCCTTCCTTGTTTGCTGGGACGCTGTGCGTGATCGGAATGCTCATTCTCTTTCTGCAGAAGTACACTACTAGTATGGATTTCGTACGGAAATTTGAACGACAGTGTGGCTCCCAAGCCAGTGTGAAAAGGTTAAGATCTCATCCTTCTTACCACAGCTTTAACAACAAATGGAATTTGCCTGTATATTTTCAAATAAGGTTAGTATGCATTTTTTTTGTTCACTCTTTCAAAAGTAGAGTTCAGTCACAGCAAGATGATCTGGCTTAGGCTCGGATCTCCTCATTGTTCAGTTTCACTTGTCAACAAATCATAGTAGAAGTCAAACTAAGAATTTAATTATGAAGTCAAGTAACTGTTTTCTATATCTCTCAACAATTTAGAAAAATCACAGCTCTTCAATATGTACTGTGTTGTAGTTACACTGAATTTGATATGCTACTCATAAGACTTTCAGGAACAGATCTAGGCAAGTCTTGAAGTCTTGTTTCAAATTCTTTTTCTCCAGTGTCCCTGGAACTAAACTGTATGTTGAAGGATGCCACTTGTGCAAATCTAGAGGAATACTTACTATGAGGGAAGAACTCTTTCTTCCTGGAAACACAGAATTAAAGGACATGACAACATGTAGCTTTTCCAGATCTAGCCATGTTTCTGACATCCTTTTTGTCTCACAGGATGTACTCTGTAAAGTGCTGGGTCTTGTAGCATTGCCTTCCCAAAGATTGCCCTTTTCCTGAGGAGCTAAGTAATAAGTTTTAGCTTACTTTTCCAGCAGGTCTTATGTACCTGTAGTATTACCTTTTACAGATCTTGCAGCTAGAAGAGAGCAGAGACCCAAGAAAGCTCCGTTTTAATTCTAGTAATGCTAGAATTTTAATGAACAAAATAGAATATAAACCCATGTTTTTAGAAAATGTAGTCTACACATCTGATTTTAGGGCTGGATAGCAAGCCTGAAGGCAAGAAAGAGAACTGTTGATTAAGTCTGCTATGACCTAAGTGTGCTGGTGTGATCTCTCATCGTCCACAGCCTTCTGAGCGTCTCTCTCTCAAAAAAAAAAAAAAAAAAAAAAAAAAAGGTAGATTTCCAAAAGAGAGGGGAGAGAAATTGATGTTTATTTTTAACCTGGATCACTTTAGTGGCCTTTTTTATTGCATAATTCTAGAACTGGCAATAACAGTACAACCATAGCCACATTTATACAGTTTCTTTAATCCAGGATAAATGTACATTGCTGCTGAAAAATTCCATCCAGGAATCTTATGAGTGCTGGAGCTAATATAAGATAAGTGACAGGAGCACGGGGCTGGGAACAGGGTCTTAGTGTTTTGGTGGTTCACTGCATTTTGTAAAATGGTAGCCCCAGCCTCTGACATCCTTGCTTGCACATCAGGTGCTGCAGCTGTGTAGTGAACTGATATGAGGATCTGTTACCTTGGGCAACAAAAGGCTGACGTTCAACTCCAATCAATTTCTCCAAACCACTTAACTGTACAAATACACGTGCTGGCCCAAGGGAAAGGGCGGGAGTACTCACTACAGTAGCAGAGCTGAGTGCACAGACTAAATGTGTCTGTGAAACTGCAGCCATTATAAACCTTTTAACAGATGTGTATCGTTAATAGGTCTGTGAGTCTGCCCCTTTTGTTTGAAAGTGCAACTTTTAGAAAAGTGACCACTTGATCAAGCCTTGATACTCTTGCTCATAAAATTGAAATGGGGCTTCACCATATTCTTTCTGTTCAAAAATGTTCTTTTCCATTAGGTATTTTGAGCTCTGACTGATTAAACTTTTTAAAAATCATTTTCCTTTAATCCAAGATTACTGTAAATCTAAATAGTGCACTATTTCAATAAATGGTTGGATAACAGGAGCTGGTTCATCTTTCACCGTGTTATTCCTATCTATTGGAATAATGTGATAACTTTTGGAAGTGCCCATGAATTCTTTAGTGCACAGCTGTGAAAATAATGCAACATATCCATTATATATGTCAGGGAAGCTTTTTCTTTGGTGTATGTTAATATCCTTAAGTCGTACGGGATTTTTATTGAAGTATTATCTTACACTATGGCATTTATAGTTAAGACTATAGAGTTTTTTCTTTTTTCAATTACAGAAATTACCCAGAACAATCAGCCCTCACTAAAGCCTTTACAAACGATCCTTTGAGGAACAGGTCGATGTACAGGCATTTCTTCTGTAGCAGTGCTAGCACGAACAGCCCCAGTAACTCTTTCCCTTGCCATTCCTTCAGTTATGTCAGTACAACTAATAGTGGAACTGTAGTGAACCCCGCATTGGGGAAATTTTTTTCCTATGTAAGAAACATTCAGCAAAAAATTATGTCATTGTTAAAAATCTGATTCCATTCTCTAATCTTTTTCACCATAAGACTTAAAGACAGTGCTCTGTCAGTGGAAGTGGTGCATATGCAGGAGTGAGGCTTTGAAGCCATTTCACAAATACTTCTAAAATATGTTTAGGTGCTAAACGTGCATCCACTCCATTAGGAGTGTGTACAAGAAAAGCTAGGTGCGCCCCTGTTCTGATCTGGAAATGGCAATTAAGAGGCTTTAAGAGCAGCCCTACAGGTTTGTAATTAGTAAGTTTGATAGAAAAGGTTACAGAATTACTATGATGCACATAAAAACAAGAAAGGGGAAACCAATGACAATAGAACTTTCTATAGGGGAGCTTAAAACAATAGCTTTGTTTCACCATTTTGTGGGAAAACCTGGTTAAAGAAGAATTTTCTGCAGCTCATGCTTGACAATTTTTAGATGAGGGAAATGCTATGTTGTTTATCCAATATGGTTTAAATATGGAAAAGTATCAGAGGTTTTAATATTAACTTTGCTGCTATACCGAAAAAAATTGGGGAGGCAGGATTTTTTTTTTTTTACTTTTTTGAAGGGTGAATTTTTTATAAAGGGGGTCAAGGTATCCTGTGAGGAACTATTGATTTTTATCAGGTACAGAATTGTTTGCAGAACCTTATGCCACTGTATGTTAACAAACATGTAGAAAGCTGAAGCCTCCCGTGTCACATGACAAATCTGAAGGTCAGCTAAAGCAAGTACGAGACAATGTGTTCACTTTTACTTTAAAAACCGTAACAAAATAAAAAGCTTCACTCCTCAAAAAAGCTGAAGACTTGACACTCTGTGAGCTATCATTTTGATAATGTTTGCAACTGTGACTAATAATTTCCCAAACTACAAGCTTCGTATCTGCCTGTAAAATGTCAAAGGTTCTCTTCCAAGTGTTGGTCTGGTTTATATCCCAATTTATGTTGGGCAAAAATAACCCCATGTTTAAAATTTGTGTATGTGCATTGATAGAACATTGAAATAATATTGAAATAAACATTGAAAAAATGTTTAGGCATCAATTTAAGCAGTTGTTGAATTGTAATATTCAAAACTTTTCTATCTCTCAGATTCAGAGAAATAGCAGGGGCCTTAGAAGAAGCACTTTCAGATACGTTAGAGGAAGCACCAGGTAAACTTTTATTGCAAAAAATAATTTCTCTATTGTGAAGGAATCGGTGGTGTAAGTAGCAGTGGTTACTGTCTGTCTGCTGAGTATTTAGTAACATGTATCCTACAGGTTCACATGAGCTTTCTGTTTTCTGATGAGCTGATTAAACAGTGTAATACATTTTTATAGAGAAGGCAATACGAGAGTACTGTTCAGTGATCACTTCACTTACTAAAAACACCCCTTTTGGCAGCAGCCATTAACATATTTGTGGAAGTATTCCCTCAGTGCAAGAAGGAACTAAACATGCATTTGGCATCCTCTAAGTGACAACCAAAAGGCTATGCTGTGTTATTGGGGCACATTTTTCTTAATTGTTGTAGGGCTATGTAGAGGCGAAAATGGCGCTCTGTTGGCAGCATTTAGGCTTCCTATGGTTTATAGTGTTGCTATCTGCTCCAAAAACATACATTGATTATGAGAAGATGAGGAGGCATGCACAGGAAGGATTAGAGTGGAAGGGAAAACGTGGTATATTCATTAGAAGTGTATTGTAATCAGAAAAACTTACTTCAGTTAACAGAGTAAATACTTACGAATGCCGCAGCTAAGAGCCAGATAAATATGTGTCTGTGTGTGTGTATATATATATATGCACACACATGCTCTCTGAAGAGAGCAAGGAGAAAAAAATCCTAACGGAGACGAAATGCATAAAACCTACCACTTTGAGGTGTTTGCCTGGAGCTTGCAGACACATTTCTTAGCTCTCTGATTGTATACTATAAAATGTTAGTGCATGAACTGCTTTAAAAGTATTTGGTTTAAATATAGGTATTCCTACTGTTTTTTAAATAAATATTTCTAGCAGATATCTCAGATATAACTGTGACAGGAGCAGTAGTTTAGTGCTAAGACAGTATTACTGTTAAGGCTGGCAAGCATGTCTAATACAACTCCTTCATAAGACAGCCAAAAATTATGCTAGAAACTTTATCTCCTGAAGTGGATTATTTGGCCAAGCTGTTCCTGCCTTTGTTGCAGGCAAATTCTCATTTGTTGCTTTTGCCTGCACAGCTACAGCAAGACTTAGTGGAATTTTAAATCTAAATCAATGAGGAGCTAATACTTTAAGAGTTTGTTTCCGACAACGCTTAATAAATCCTCTTTGCTATCTTTGTGATTGTGTCTTTTGGAATACTCTTTTTTTTACTTTTTTTTTTTTTTAACAAAAAAAATCTCGGGTAACACAATTACACTGATGTTACAGCTTTTTAAAATGTGCTTAGGAACTTGACCTTTGTTGTTTGATTGTTTCTAGCTGGCAGCTCATACTGTCTTTTGGCCACTCACATGGTCTGGACGAGTCTTCTGAAGTGCTGGTCAGATCAAATGTTTTTACCATTATTAGCACACCGTCTTTGGAAACTTAGTCTGCAAATTTTGGCACGCTACTCTGTGTTCGTTGGTGAGGTAAGAGAACAGCATGCTCATGGTTTTGGTGATTGGGTATGTCCATCAATAAGAGACCTTTTGAAAAAAAGTATGTGACCTCTTTTTAAGTGCTTTTTTCCTGAATTTAGCATTCTTTAACAAGAACACTTTCAATCAGTTCATGAGTGTGTTTTGTAAAAAGTATCACTGCAAAATATGTTATTAACCACAGATTTCAGTGCTGCTGCAGTATTACTGTCTGATGGTTGCCAAGGCTGTACTTCCATGTAGGCTTAAGGCTGCCTCTGCCACTGAGAGAAGTAGCCATAATCTTTGGGTTTTTTTCTGTTTGTGTAAGTGTTTGCTTGTTGATACAGTGAACAAGGTTGTGAAACTGAGCCAGGTAAAAACTAACCCTGAAAAAAAAAAAAGGGGGGGGTGTAAATTAATCCAGATCAGTTGCTCAGTGTTGAGACTGTAACACTGGAAGTTTGATGGGCAACTGACTCAACATCAAGGATTCCCTGCTTCTGAGCAGGAGAGGTTGCGTGCTTTGCTCTTCTACTCCCTGCTCCCAGCCATACAAGTTTCCCCCTGTTTCTTGTGTCATAAGAAGACAGCATGATAGAATAATTTGGTTTTAAAGGGTTTTCTGGAGGTCACCTGGTCCCAATTCCTGCTCAAAAGAGTGCCAGCTTAGATAAGGTTGTGCAGAGCCTTTTCAAGTTGAATTTTTAGTATATCCAAAGATGGCAATTTCACACCTCTCTGGGAACCCTGGTTCAATGACTGACCACTTTTACCTCATATTTGATCAGAATTTCCCTTGCTACAGTCGATGTCCCTCACTGTACCTCAAGGAAAAGTCCGATTCCCTCTTCTCTATACATGCCCCTTAGGTAATTGAAGACAGCAGTAAGATCACTCTTTATCCTTTTCTTAAGACTCAAAGACTCAGTTGTCAGCTAAATTGGCTCATGAAAAGTACTGGTAAGTACTGGAGTTAAAACAGAGTAGTTGAGTGAAGCATGTGCCTGACAGCAGAGGGCTAGAGGAGGTGGGAGTAAGGGTTTTTTTGACAGCAGTGAGCGGTTATGGTTTTTGTATTCCAGCATATGAAAATAAACCGTTTCTGTGAAGCAGATAGCGATCAAATTTTTGGCCCTGCACATCCCTCCAGTGCAGAAGGTCATTTGAACACCACACAGGTGAAAATTGCTGTAGGACTGGACTGCCCTCTACTATAGTGACAAATTTGCTCCAAATCATCCAACTCCTGAGTGCACCAAAAACTGTTTTAAAAATACCTTTTTTTAACGTAATTTAGGAACGCTAATATCCCTTGTAAGTGTGGCATTCTAATGCTGAGAACTTACAAGTCCTTTATGTGCTGTTTGTCCAACTTTAGCTGCCTTCACTGTTGCTAGGGCTCACTCACATCTCAATTTCATGTTTCAGGTTTCTGTAAGGCCCATTTCCAGTGAGAATATGAAGGAAAGCAAAAAATCAGTGCCAGTTGGTAGAAAGGAATCTTCTGTCAGCCTCAACCCTGGTGAGGACCAAGGGAACGGGGCTGCTCCAGAAAGTCAGCCCTTGCCTTCTGTATCTAGTACTCAGTTGGTATATGTTGCTGCAGATCTGGACAAACTCCAGGATCAGGTTTGTGCTTGTGACTTTACTTACAAAAGAATCTTTGTTGATCTTTGTGCCAATATTGTTTGGCATCTTGTTAAGGACATTAAATTGTTTAAAATAATGTACCATAAAGCAATTTTTTTTATCTTAAATGCTAAAACTGGAGTAGTCTGATATAGAAAATATCACCTGAAATAAATGGTCTACTCTGTGCTTATTTGGAATGGCAGATTACAGAGAAACCACTTCAGGTATTTAAACTGTTTTTATCAGTAGCTGCTGGACTTAACCCCTAAAATAATGTTTCTGCTCATTTTTGCTGCAGAGCGTCACTGTGTCAGAGTCTTATCTTTGCTAGTAAAAACTCTGGAGTGTGGTGCAATATTCAGCTTTAATATTATGTTCTCTTTTAAATGTTTACTGGTTTTAGTCTTTGAGGTTGAAAAAGGTTTTCTCATTATGATTATACTTTACTAATGATCCAGAACCTTGGAAAAGAGATGTATGATACCAAATTTTCTTCCAATAGGGGTGAATTCTGTGTATTTTTGGTCAATAAGGATGGTATTTCTGTAATTTGTGAAGTTGTAAGTTGCATGTGGGTTGATAATATTTTGTTAATTCTAATTATTTCCTCTGAGGGCAATAGTAAGATAGGGGATTTATTGCGTAGGCCTTAATTCCTGTGAATATTGTATTCTTCTAGTACTGATTTCCCATAAATGCAGTAAAAATGTAGAAAAGATTGAAGGTGTCTTTTGATGCACTGGAAACTTAAAGAATGTAGGAAAAGTAATTAAAATATGTTTATAACATGACTGTATCTCTTGGGTTTTTTTGTTCAGATTCCTGATATCTTAGAAATGATTAAACCAAAACTTGAAATGATTGGCTTCAAGAATGTATCTTGTATTGCAGGTAAAGCTGAGAGGCTGAATTCAGTCTCTTTCCCCTTTCTCCCAAATCCCTTCTGCCTGCTAACCAAACAAAAACAGCTTTTACACACAGTTTCATTATTTACAATGAAAAATTTGAAAATACTAATGTTTTTATTATTTAATGAAGCTTGCTTAGGTTTAAATTGTTAAATAGAAACTTTTGAACACATGTTGAGTCTGGAAAACATTTGATTACAATTGAGTGAGTCTGAAGTGCTTTGGGTTTTTAGGGGAGGGGTTGGGTTTGTTTGGTGGGATTTTTTGGAAGTAACTTGTCATTGTCCAGTAATTAGGATGCTTCTCCAGGAAATGGGGGACCTAAGACAAGGAGATTCATATCATACCTTTAAAATCCTACTTGTAAAGGAAATGGGGAAGAAGTAAGGAGAGGCTTTCCATTATCCAGTTGAAACTAAAATATTTTTCTAAAAAGATTTTTCTCTCTCTGGCCTGATGAATCATGTAAGGAGAAGAGTTATCAAAGTTTCATAGTTAAATACCTTAACTTCAGAGGACAGAAGCAATTAAGTATTTTAGCCTCTCTTTTTCTGGTTGTTTGGTTTTGGTTTGTTTTGTGGGGTTTTTTTGTAGTCTGATCATTCTTTATGTGAAACATGGAGTCTGATTTTAATTTAGTAACTAAAGCCAGGCACGTAGCTGGGTGAGTGAACTAGTCTCTGTCTTCAAGTACAGCCAGAAGTTCTGTGCTGTGAATTCCACTTAAATCTCTAAATCAGGGTTATTGGTAGATGTCCAAGTCCCTAAGAGAGGTAGGAGCTTGTGCACATCCCCTGCTCAGTAGATAGTCTGCTGTCAATCAGAGCTTTGAGTTGAGCATGTTCCAGACACTCCTACAGGGAATTTAGGTACTGTGAGAAGGAAACTGTGGTAGTGAAATTCTTTGGTAGGTCAGAGCCTTTTGATTCGAGCCCCTTGCTACATTGGTAATACTGAAAAAACTGTGAACCTGGAGAATGTTACCTGACCCCTATTTTTCTTTCTGTCCCTCCATCAGTTTTTCCAGCTAAGGAATGGTTAATGTTACTGGTGATGTTTTATATTTTATAAATGGCTGGTGTGTATTTATTTAGTAAGCATCCTGTATTTGACACCCGCAGCCATCTAGGATAGTGAGTGAGATTGGGATGATGGCAGAGTTCACATAATTTATGTTGTGATTGGGCAGGGTAGCTCAGTTTAAACTTTAGCATTTTTACTTCAATAGGAGCCTTGGAAGACTCAAAGACTTCTTTATCAGCCTGCGTGCCTACCTTGAATAACAGGATTATCCAGGATCTCAGTGAGTCCTCCTTCGCTTACCTGAAGAGTGCACTGGAAGTTCCAAGACTATATAGGAGAACCAACAAGGTCAGTGCTGGTTGCAGATGAAAAAATAAATCAGTAAGGCCTATGCTAAGAATGCTAACGGGGTAGTACATTTATGAGTTCTTCAGGCCTGTCCATATCTGCTTGACAGTCAAGAACCCTGTTAAATACCATGAGATAATTTAGTGATTTACTGTTTACCTCATTGCAAAGGAAAAAAATAATGGTATTTTCAAAATTTTAGGTAGGCTAACAAAGATGAGAGCACAGGCCTGAGATAGAAGGAAGAGCAAGGAGTAGAACGGTTAATGTGCAAAAGAAAAAGGGTTAATGAGAATAAATGTGTTGCCCTCGTGTCATAACATATACCATAAGAGGCAGTGCTGCTGAGTGGCAGGCTTCTTTTGGGAGGATGACTTTTCTGCCTGCTATGTCAAGAAACTTCTTCCCAGTGAGCAAGCAGCTTGGATTTGATTCAAGAAGTATCTTGCACAGAAGGAACAAGATGAGAATGGCTAAAAAGAGTAATTTGTTGAGAAACTAATAAAAAGTAATGGTGAAATACAGTATCAAACCCAATTGTCTGATCTTGGCTTGTTCTACTACTGTGACATGCCTTTGCCAGTCTGTCTGCAGAGTTGTGTTGGTAGTTAGCTTGGTATCATTCAGGCAACAGAGAAAGATTTGAGTAACAGGAACCACAGACTGCTACATCCTTGCCTAATTTGAACACAGAAGGCTGTTCTTTCCCATTCACCCCTCTCCCCTTGCTCTCTCTTCCTGCTTGTTTGTGGGGTCGTTTTGGTTGGGGGTGGGGTGAAGGTTACCTTGGCTCACCAAAATCAAAAGCACTTTCCTGGCTATCACGAAGAAACTGTGCTGCCACCAGCAATGCAGTAGCTACATGGAAAAAATTAGAGCTGTTAAGTCTACTTCTTTCAAAGGTATTAAATTTTCTTTGTGTGCTAAATATTTAGGGTAAGCTGAAAGAGAAGTTGTTCCTAAGGGAGTAGTTTATTACTTCAGTTTATTACTAAGGTTTCTCACTGTCTTAGTTTTAAGGACACACTTAATCAGAAATTGTATTTAAAAAACAGAAACAACCTCAAGACTAATAAAATTCATCTATGTAGTGACTAGATTGTTCTACTCTTTCCTTAAGTAAAAATATTCTTTGTTAGAGACAGAACAAAGTATGTAAGTCCAAGGAGGGTGAAAAACCCAACAATCCTACACTGCTTAGCTCAGTTATCTGAAAGCAAACTCTGCATAGTGATTTAGTGGACTGCCATAATCTCTCAGTTGTCCATGGGATGTTTAAGCAGATGGTGGGCTAACTGTGCCAAAGCAAAGACGCAGGACTTGGCCACCTTCAAGTCAGTTGAGTTGCTAGCTTGAGCTCTGTACTCAATGAGTGTGACTGCATTGCTTTCTTGGCCATCAGTCTAACTGGCTTTGTGTGGTGCAAAGCCTGAACTGATAAACAGGAGAGAGACAACTTGGGTAGAGAAGGTACTTCATTACAGTCATGTTAAGTGCTGGCAACTTTATTTTTACTATGTTCTATTACTTTGATTTTTCACCAGAATTCAGAATTTGGCATGAGGATAGTCTTTGTAGGAATTGGATGTGCAAAAGCTCTTTTGCTTGGCCAAGTTCTAAGATTTGAAACTCTTAAGAGGTTAATGAGGTATTTCAGGTGTCAGATTTTGTGTGTACCCTGGATACGTTCCATTGCTTTGCAATGCATGAGATTCACCCAAGCTATGTATGGGTCATCCCCGGAGAGATGAAGCACTCTGCAACCAAAACTAGCTGAGAAGAAGATATTGAGGGGATATTAGTTATCCCAAAAGCATTCTCCTGGAAAATATACTGAGGGAGCAGGATGGTATAAGAACAGAAGGAACAATGTCTTCAGCTTAGTGAAGTATAGTACAAAACAGTAGGCATTTTTAAAAAGGTTTAATAGTCTGTTGTGGACGCTGAGTCTGCTCAGCTTTCTCTGAAATCAGCATAAGCAGAAAGGGCATTCAGGATCACGCCCTGATAATAGGAGTGGCTGGTGGCACATGCATCTCAAAAAGCTTTGGTCATTTTGAACCTTGTTTTATATTATATCACATTGTATAACACTACCGAATGATTTTGCGATGGTGTCTTTGCTATGTACAATGACCTCTACATGGATTTGTCGTGAATGGAGTATGTATCTCTTTGCTTAGGTGCAGCTTGGCATTTTACATATGTGCTAGAATTTGGTGTTGATGCTTTCAGTAAGTAAATGGTTCTTTTTCCCCATCTTGTTTCCCTGTCATCTACCAGGAGGTGCCAACTAAAGCTTCACCTTATGTTGATAGCGCTCTTAAGCCCTTCTACCTACTACAGAATGAATACAAAGATACATTGAAGCAGCCCATGGTTCATCAATGGTTGGAAGGTGCCCTCTCTGAAAGCACACAAAAGTAAGACAACCATAGAGAACGTTCTTTGCATTAATTAAAAACTCCACTGTCCATTGAATGGGCACAGGAAAAAAACAGAACACTATGAATTAGCATAAGTGTAAAAATCCAAGAATATACCCCTCTTTTGGCAGGGTGTATTTCTTCAGATACTCTGGTGTTAGGTATTCAGCAGATGAAAAGCAGGGCAGGGAATCCAGAGACCTGGCTTCTGCTCAGATCTCTGCAAATGTGACATTGTGGATAGGGCATTTGAAAAATTGTTTGGCTGTAGTAATGCAGCAGTGAACTAAAAATTTGCATTTTGTTTCAGAATTAACATAAAACCTTAACCTCATGTTATTTTCAGTGAACAGTGGTTGAATTTTCAAGAAACTTGAGTTATGCTTTTCTTTGACTTTTTTAATGTATGTAATGATTGTCTAACTTTTTAGTGGTTTAAAAAAAAAAGCTTTGGATTTTTTTTAACTGCTGAAGAGGTAACTTCACGGTTTAATAAGGCAGTCATAAAGCAATACCTTCTTTAGAAGATCTTCTGCTTCCTAGTTAGCATCTTGAAGACTTCTTGAGCATGAATATCCATCTGAATTAAGTTCGTTATTGGATTTTGTTTCTGTCTGTTTGTCTAGCTGTATTTTAAATTCATACTGCTGTGGGATGTTGCATTCTGTGAGTTCAGACAGTTAAAATGAGTAACATGAGAAGGCAATACTTTTTGGAAGTTTTTCCAGATGATTTCACTGGATACCCCCTACTTCTTGCATTGTGGAGAATTTATTCCTTGCGCCAGCTATAATTTTTTATATCTCTGTAATCTTGCTTCAGACTAAAGAGTCCCCTTGCCGATTTTGATGTTTCTTTCCTCTTCCCTTCTCTATAGTTGTTGTTTGCTCATTTTCTTTGTCCTTTCTGGTCATAGATGGTATGGTCAGAAGAATCCTTGCAGGTTAAAGTGTGATGCTGTGATTTCTGTCTGTCCTTACATGGTTTTTCTAATAATTCTTAGCATATTGTCTTGTCTGTTGGCTGCTGCCGAGCATTGGATTAATGTTTTCTGAGAATTAGCCACATAATACTGAGGCTTCAAACACTAGTCAGAACATGAGTTCTTGCCTGCCCTTCGCCTCCTTATCCCTCCCTGCTGCTCCACTTCTGGCACCTCTCAGGTACTTATTAATGCCCGATGCCTATGCAGCGCTTTGCACTCACTTTTTTGGTTATTCAGAATAAATTTAAAATTATAAGACAATTTTGACACTCAAATATTCACCAACTGTCCTTAAAATTATTCTTAAGTATTTTGGACAGGGCTGAGCATAGATTGGTCCGGATTCCACTGGTCACTTCCATTTTGCACAAAACCTGCTTTTTCAAGCTTGGTGTCTCTTTTCTTAACCAGTTATTAGTCCATAAAAAGAAGCTTGTTCTTAACCCACAGCAGTTATGTTTAGGTAACGTTGCTGAAGGACTCCAAAGATTTCTGGAATGTCAAGTTGCGTGCTTGTAGAGCTAAAATATCTTAGAGAGAATTCTTGTCTGTCTGTCAGTCTATGTACCTCTCTGTGTCTAGTAAGCCTTGCTTTTAAAGAAAGCTTCAGTAAATCTGGTGATACCATGCAAATTAAGTAGCTGTTCTGTAGTTCCTTGGATCCAGCCAGAGCTTTTTTTCCCCCAAAAGAGCGGTTTCTCACCTTCCATGTCAGCATTGCCAAAACCAACTTAAGTGCTAGCTTAAACACAATGGTAATAGTTAAACATGGGTAAGATCGGCAGGGTCATTTGCTAATTTCTTAGAATTTTCTGTTGAATTCTGTTTTCATAATTTGTTGCTACTATTCTTATCAGTTTGTTTTAAAATGTCTTATCCTCACTGAACAAGAAAAGAGGCAAAGAAACTGAATTTCTTAAATGGAGGAATATTGTAGTTTCTTCGTTGAGAATGTAGATGCAAGTAATGAATTTAATTGCCTGCTGTGACAATATCTTCTGGCATCCAAATGAGAAAAAACAGAAAAGAGCATAAACTGGTTAAAAACCTCTGAGGACTAAACTTGCTTATATGGCAGAAGAACTTCAAAGTACAGCAGAAGTAGGAAGTCTTCACAAGTGAGTGGTACTAGGAAGTACCACAACGTATGAAAAGAGAGCACGGTTGACTTCTATTGGTATACTTTTACTTTTTGTAGAATGGTATCTTGAAACAGCTTCCATGGCACTGGCAGGCACTTTTTCTTTAGCCATTCCTATCTAATTATCCCTTAAAAAGCTTGCCTGCTTTCTGTTGCCTCCCTTTTTAAAAGTAAGCACTGGGAAGATTCTTTCAACTTCCTTAATTCTTACAGTAGTTGTTTGATTATGGATCCTCTAATTTCCCACTGTTGCTCTATTTTCTCCTCTTAGCTATTCTTAACAACTTGCTGTCCTGGGCATCTGTTAGTTAATTATATGATATTATGCCTTTCCATTTAGGCATGAGATTTCAGTCCATAAGGCTTTTGGAACTTTTGCTGATTAGTTGATTTGTTTACCTTGTTTGATTCTATGCTTGCTTTATTGTGGATCCCGGTATGTGGGAAGTGGTGTTTTATTCCGTCTATACTATTTCTAACTTGGCATTACTGTTTTTCTGACTTTTCCTGCCAGCTTCCTGAGAGTCCTGTTTAGATCAGTTTCTTCATTTTAGAAATAGGCACTTCTGACTGATGTGCACTTGCACACTCTCATATACATGCACACTTCTATAACTTGTCTAAAACTATGTATTTTTCGGTCTGTCAGGCTGTTATTCTTGTCCTGCTTGTAAAAGGAATTTAACTTAGCGCTCTATTGGTTGTAAATAGAGGCTGATTCAGACTTTTTGAAATTGAGCAATTGCATTCCTTGGTCTCTATGGAGTTCAAACATCTTGAGCAGGTCAAAAATGTTGTGATAAGAAGGAGGCTTCAACACTGAATAGTAATCTTCAGATTGACCTCTAGAACTAATGATGGAAATACTGATTAATTGATAATGATGGAAACATAAGTACCTTCCTCACAAGGAAAACCATTCCTACCAGCATTGTTCAGCATTTTTCTCAGGGCCAGTGGTGTACTAATGTGTATCAAGTAGGCTTTTCTGTAACTGTGTAATTTTTTTATTTCTCATTAATCTTCCTTAATTTAGGTATTATGAAACTGTATCTGATGTGCTAAGTTCTGTTAAGAAAATGGAAGAGAGCCTAAAAAGGTTGAAGCAAGCCAGAAGAACTACAACTTCAAACCCTGTTGGTACAAATGGGGGCATGAGTGATGATAACAAAATCCGACTACAGCTGGCCCTAGATGTTGAGTATTTTGGAGAACAAGTAAGTTATGAGGAACAAGTTTGTTTACTGTTACTACTGGTTTTGGAAGGGAGTGAGATATAGGAGGAAAGGGAAGCTTCACTTACTTTTTTGGTTTGGGGGGGGTTTGCATTGTTTTTTCGCATCTGTATAATGGAGGTGACTTGAGACTTTGGTGATTGTAGATACCACTTGAGCAATGCATGCTTTCCTGTCCTTTCTTATACACATGCATAGCTTGTGTTTCTTACTATTCAAAATTCAAGTACTGCTTAGGTGCTTAGAAGCACAAAGAAGAAACACTGTGTGGACGGATCAGAGGGCAGGGACCTTCCTTAGCTCTGATGGAAACATCTTTATGGCCCTGCTTTTGTTTGCCTTCTCTCTGGGTATTTCCAGCCTTGAGTTACTGCATAGTCAAGGGTCTGTTCCCAAGAGCTTTGAAGATGTTAGCCTTATTTTACAGATGTTAGCCTGTAAGTTCCTTTCAGTGCCAAATATGAAACCTTAAATAACAAAACAAATAAAAGAAGAAAATATTCCAGGAAGTGTGTGCAGTAGCTACATCAAATTGTATAGGCATACTGTTTTGTACTCATTTTTTTCTGAAAATTATATGTAGAAATAAACAAATGTTCCAAGTGCAGGTCCATATCATTAGTTGCAAACAGTTGTCATCAGTCTTGTTTATGAGCTGTTGATGCATTATAACACGTAGATAAAGCCTGTATGTGAGCAAATGCTTTTCTCATATCTGAGACCTACCACAAAGGAAGAAGATTTGGGTGGAAGTACAGAACTCTTACTAACAAGAACTATTATTTGGCGGTTTTTGACTGGTGTTGGGCTTTTGTTCTTTTATTCCTGTTATGTGCACTAACATCACTCCGATGTGAATTTAAGCTGAACTGGGATAGATTATTCATAATAGTTCAGGAGCTGTTTTGGTACACGTGAACATTACAAAGAGTTCCAGCAGCAAATACCTTTTCAGAGTCATTTCATTATGGTTTTATTTAGATCCAGATTTTTCTTCTTCAGTGCACTCTTAGTTTTCTCATGGTTGTATTTTTCTAATTGTCAGAGCAATAGATTTCCTGGGTAAGAAATGACTCGTAGCAACCTCTCTGTTTGTAGAGTTGTTTTCATCCCCCAGGAAGTTCGAAGCTAGAACCATAGGCCCTTGCAGCCTATTGAAATGCTTTCATCATCATGCTGTTGGCTGTTCTTGGATGTATTCATGTTTATCTTTAAAGTTTTGCCCAGAAACCTCATTTGGGGGTTGAAAAAATTTCAGTTGAAATCAATGCATATGAAAACAAAGTTACAGCCAAGTTTCTCTCTCTGTTTCATTGGAAAACTTCCAACTGGCTTTAGTTACAAGTTGCCTAGAAGATGGTTCAATATTTCCCTGCAAGACACTACATTAACTGGAAAGACTTAACTGAGTGAAGTTGGATACAAATTTTTTTATAGTGTGCACTATATGCAGTTGTGTTTTTTTGCCGCATGTTGATGCAGGACAACACATGTGCTTTGCTAAATGTTTAAGTAGAATAATTAGTGAGTTTTTGATGTTTTAAAGAAAACTGATGTTTCTTATGTGTCTTTTTAGATACGAAAGATGGGATTGGAAACAAGCAGCATAAAAAGCTTTTCAGCCCTTACAGAGCTGGTTCTAACTGCCAAGGATCAGCCTACAGCAGAACAATCCTAGATGTTTTCGAAAGCATGTGATTGAAGATAAACAATGTCCCTAAAAGAAAGAGAATTTAACTCTTCTTTATTTTACCAAATAAGTAGCAATGAAGTGCTTCCTAATGTATCTCGAGCAACAAATCAGTGCATCTTCTGTCAAGATAGGCTTGTTTCACCAAAAGACTGAGAATTTACCATAGTTTTCCATTATATGGAAAGCAATGAAAAGTTCTAAACTTTCTACTGTAGAATAAAAGTGGAAGAAAATGTTTTTTTATTTTTGTTGTACATCTTAAAATGTAGAAGAATGAACTTATATGATGAAAATAACATGTAATAAATTGTCTTCCTAACTTTTGATGTCCCATATGTTTTTAAATCAAATGTATTCATTGATGGCTGTCAAAAGTTTTCAAAGGGACTTTATTCCAGCTCTTCTGGAATAAAGAAAGTGCTTACAGGGATAGGAATCTGCTATTTCTTGTTACTGCCTTGCACTTAACCTCATCGTGGGATATAGTTAGCTCTTGTTTGGGTTTTGAATGTTTTCATTTTACTGATTTGGTTTTTTTCATGGACCTTGTTCGTGAGGAAAAAAAGCATAAAAAAAGCTCTTAAATTACTTTAAATTTAAAAAATAATTTCTAGTATCAGTATCTAACTTCTACTGGCTGTTACGTTCAGGCTACCTGTTTTCCTTCAAACTAAAACTTAACTCACTAAGCTAGAATTGACTCAGAGTTGGCGTATTTCTGATTTGTATTATAATGTCTGTTAGAATTCAGGGCAATATTTTGCCTGAATATGTGTAGAATTCTTGTAACTTCAAACCTAGTTACTTCAGTACAAGCTGCATCTTTATATAGCAGGAAATTTGAAAGTGTTATTAGGGTTCTAAATGGTAGAAGGATTAACAAAGAGCTCTCTTGAACCTAGAGTGATTTGCCTGTTGACATTTCTCTTTTGTATGTGAGGGACAGGTAACAGTCTGGGCACAGTAGGAGGTGAATTTGAGGCTTTGAAATGAGAGAATGCTCTGTGTGAGTGAAGGAAGGTTTTGTTTGTGTGTCTTTTTTTTGTTTGTTTGTGTTTTACCCTGTGAAAATTTAACACTGGAATTCTAGTTCATGTTTATTAATTAAAAATACCCATTTCTTCCTAAAGTATTTAGAGAGCTTGGATCTTAATGGGGGAGCCAAAGATGATGCAAATCTTCCAAGTACTTAGAGATACGGAGTTCGTAGGGCACAGCTGTTACATAGCATTGAAGTTGTAGTGAGCAAACCTTTCACAGCATTGAGGCTTTTATTCCTCACTGTTGGAGAATTGACCATATTTTAGTTGAGCAGACACAATTATGTGATTGCCGCTTTTGAAGCGATTAGGATAGGTGATTATTATGACTTCTCTAAAATTAATTTTATGAAGGGGGGCAGTGGGGAAAGTACTACTGCTTAAAATTATGTTGGTTCTTCTTGGATTTAATCTGAGTAATGGAGAGCAGGATTTGGCTCTTCTAATTTTCTTAGCATCTCTCTGTTCATGGCAACACATACAATTGAGAGAGCATCCAAATTTATTTCTGCACACAGCAAAGTGAACCAACTTGCTGGGTGTCAGGTCTGTTTGTCTCATTCAGGGATGTGGAGATCCTCAGCCAGCCAAGGGCTTAGGTATACACTGCTGAATGAACGTAACTCTTACTGCTTATGGACAAGAAGTTTGTTGACTGTATTGTATTTTTCCAGGCTTCTAACTGATGAATCTAGAAGGCTTGGTCTCCCTGTATCTCTTCGTTTGCTTTTATTAAGAGTCAGGAGTGGAGGTGTCTTGCTACCACTAGCTACTGTTGTTTTCAACAATTTTTCTTGTTATAAAATGAAGGTGTAAGTTATAGTCTGAGACTGAGATTGCAGTATTGTAAACGCATTGTCCAACTTCTTATTTTGGAAGGTATGTATCCCTGTAAGTCTAAATTTCTGTAACAGCTGTCACAAAACTAGCAGATGCTGAGATCTGTGCATACTAGTGATTGAAGATAGAACAGCTTTGTTTGTATCCCCCAAAATCAGGGATAAGGATGCAATCTGTGTACCAAACCAAAAAGGCATGAAAAGGTCACTTGCCCTTTTGTTGCATGTGATTTCCTGCATCTTCCTGCAATAGCACAACTTCCTACTTGTCATCATCAGCTTGCTGAGTATACAGGCTGAATTCTGTTCTTTCCTTTGAAGACCAGCTTGAATTTCAGGGCAGGAAATAACATTGTATAGCAAATCAAAATTATTGAATGGTCCTATGATTGCTGTAAATGTCTATGTTGCTGGTTTTATGTCAGTTCCCTATCTTTTATTTTTGTTCACTTGAATAGCATTTAATTTTCTTTCAGTGGTATACGACATCAGTTAAAAATTTGTGTGATCCCCCTCTTGAAAGAAAGAAGAGGTGTGAATCGACTTTGTCTTTGGTAAAATGAATTTCAGCATTTTCAAATGCTGTGGATCAGTCAGGAGGAGAGGATCTATGGTGTAAGTAAGTGTGTTCTGATAGAGATGTCTTCTGCTACTAATCCTCTTCTATTCCTCAGATTTTTATGGGATTTTTTTAAGTGCACTTCACTTCATGACAGCAATGCAGATTTTGTGCCTTTTTCTTCTTCCCTTCTAGGACCTCTAGAAAACTTGCTATGCCTTTTTAAGTCTGGAAGGAGTTTAGCTGCAAGAGGTTTTCTTAATAGCATTGAGGAGGGAAAGAGTGGTGGCATGTTTTCCTCTAAAACGGTAATTGGATTCTCAAGTGTGTGGGTTATATCAGAAGTGGACCAGACTGTTTTAACCTCATCACTTAAACATAACAAGCAATATGTATATTTGGCTGGACCACTCAATATTCAGGAATATTTACTCTCCTTTTTCTATCAGCAGTTGTATTTTCACGCTTGAGCTGGAGGGATGAGGAAGCAAATTGCCTAGGTTGTTTTTGTTTAAGCTTATCAGCATAATTTTCAGCTATGCTCAGGTATAAACTCTGTTGTTTTATCAAAACTTAAGAAGCCTGTCCTTGTCTTTTTCTTTCTCGAAATCTCCCACCTGTTAGAGCATGATTTTAGACGCTTCACTGAGTAGACTGTTGAGCTGTAGACTGCAGCTGACAGCTCAGTGTGTGAATGATGCTTAGGATGCTTGGAACGTGCCTCATGGTGTGCCTGGCAGAGGAATTTGGTGGGACAGGAGGAGACCGCTGGAGGCGAGTGAAAGCTATAAAATGCCATAAAAATTTTAGGTGTAACATTGATCTCAGAAACAAATTGCAGGAGAGCGTACGTTGTTGGGGAAGCGGAGAGAATTAGTTGGGTTTTTGGGGGGTGGTTTGTTTGTTTGGGGTTGTTTTTTTTAACCATTTGAATATCTGGGAGAATGGGTACATGTACACATAGCTTATCTTTTTGGTACTGTAGCACTTGTTCCAGCACCTCTCTCTTCCCAGTCCTTGCTTTGGCCAGTATACTTTAGTAGTATAGTTCCCTGCCTCTGTCCGTCCTTCCTTCCTTTTCTTCTCCAGGGTGTCAGTGGAGAGGTGCTCACCACCACAGAGTTTCTTTTCTGAAAAGTGTTTAGTTTTGTGGGTGGTGGGTTTTGTTTGTTTTTCTGCCTGTGACCACTGAATAGGGTGTGGAGTCCTCCAACAGCATGCAGCCCCTGCCTGTGAATAATGGCATTTTGTCCCAGAACTTACTGGCAGCGTGGCCAGGGGCTCCCTTCCGTTATCCTCCATCTTCATCATGGAAGCGGAACATTTTGTGGTCTGAAATTTTATTTGTGGCTGATGCTACCATCTGACTTCCAACGAGTAAATGGGATAACTTTTAAATTAGCATGGACACTTGGAAGCTGCCTCTTTCATGCTTACAACTGTATATTTGGCTGTGTTGCATGATAATTTGCAACTTACTGTCTTAAAAACCATAAATCTGACTTGGAGCAAATTTCAGAAGCCAGAGCAAGGGATGTAGTTATGGACATAAACCCAACCGAACTGTGGCAATGCAACTTAGAAGTGGTTTTATTTGCATCTTTCCATCTCTGCATATTTATAGTTAATTGGTTCTGTATATAATACAAGTACAGTATTTAGATGTTGGAGCATCTGGAATACATACGCTGTAACTGGATAAATATGCGGATGCTATACCGTAGCACTTAAAATCCTAGTATTCTCGAGAGTGAGTTGTGGTTTTTATTAGTCTTTTCCATTAAGCTAGAAGGATCTGTCACGTATCTACATCACCGATAGCAAGCCACTGCCATTAGTGGGTTTGGATTAGACAGACATTTGAGCCACTGTAGACAACAATGAGCTACCGTGCTCTGTAGGGTACATCTGGCATCATATAGCAAAGAGGTTTGCGGTTCTTTTCTAAATGCCATCAGTGCTAAAGACAAATCTAGAGATGAGAGGTGGAAATCCTTGTTCTGCTGAGAGGCTTTCCGTAGTACCAAGATTTCACTCCCAGTTCCTCGCTTCCTAATTCAAGAGTCATCTGATAATCTGTTATTCCAGTTTAATGTTTCAAACCTTTATGACTCTGCTAAGAGTTGGATTGGACCACTGAAACCTTTTTATTCATGTGTAGCAGCACATCCACCATTTATACTAGTATAGATTATTGCTGTTAATACTAATTTTCAAGAACATATGGTTTGGATATGTTAAAGTTGACAGATCTGGGCTTTAACCAGTAATGTTCTTTTTTGCTATAAGGCTGTAATAAATGCCTCTCAGGTTAGAAAGTAATCCAAGGAATGGAATTGTATTGGAATAGTAGACCTTATTTTTTTTCTAAAAAAACAACCCAGAGATAATTCTGTCAGGCTATGAGAATTTATCCAGCACAGTTCATTAATGCTACCAAAACCCTATTTTTAGCTTTTCCGTAGAGTTAAGAAATGAACGTATCCATCTGGGCTGCAGAAAGAAGAAACTTCCTTTGAATGCGTTTTTGCTTCCAAGGCAAAAAATCTTGTCTCAGTGGGACAAGTGAAGCCTGCCCGTGCTGTTGGCAGCGTTTTAAAGGAAAATGTTGCTGATGAAGCTAGAAATCTCTGTGGATAACTGTAAAACTTTCATGGTAACATAGAAGGGGGTCTCTCCTGCAAAACTGACCAAACTAAAGATTAAAAAGTGACCTCTTAAAGAATGAAGAGGTCCTTTTCTGTACCTTTCTATAGTAAATGCCGCTTGCACTTATAAAACTATATTTTTCAAGTCAATGCCCTGCTGGCTACTGCTTTGTCCCCACTGCATCGAAAAAGGGAGCTGAGGGCAGAAGGGAGACAAAGTGGGAATAAGGAAAGAAGAGAAGCTGGAGGAAGAGTTGGAGTCACCTCAGGTGAAATAGATGAACAAGGATAAAATGTTGCAATGTTTTAGCTTAAAAAAGCTGTATTTCAAACACTACCTGCTTTGTCTCAAAGCTGAGTAGAGCACTCAAGATCATAAAAATAGCTGATGAATAAGAAAAAGGTGATGGGAAATGTGCATCATTCCCCTCCCTCCCCATCCCCTGTGCTTGCATTTAAACCCCAGATAGAGGGTTTGTTACTCTGCCAAGGAGAAGCATGGCCCTTGACTTCTCTTCAAAAACAGCTAAAAGGAATGGCTTGTTCAGTGTTACATCCAGGAACACTGCATCTTCCTTCTGTGCTGCAGGGTCTTCTGGCTGATCTGTTCCATCACCGGTCAGTTTGAAAAAGGCTTTATTTATTACCTGTAAAGCAAAACACATGAGTGACTCTGGAGTCATCAAAGCATGATAGTGAAGAGACAAATGAGAGTTTGAATAAATTATAAAGCACATGAAGAAATCAATAACTTTGATCAGCTGTAAGCAGCACAGGATAGACTCCATGGATGTTTAAAAAAGACGCTGGAGTACTTGTTCCATAACGTGAAAAAGCTCTACAACTGTTTGTACACTTGGGCTGTGTGAAATCCTGGTACCCTTGAAGCCCCTGACAGAACTTCCACGGTAGGGCACCTTCTCAAAATAAAATTAAATAAAAGTAAAGGCACTCAAATTATACTTCTGGAACATAATTTTTCACCTTGTTATGAAAGACAGCCCTCTCCTGTCTTCCCTGTGGGATTTTAATGCTGCAGCCTGTTTTCAAGTGAGATTGTGTGCCGCATGCACCTCTGTGTTTGCAGTTTCTGGGAGTAGTAGTCCCTATGTGATGGAGGATTATCCTCAACAGCCCGGTAGCTGCAGCCTCTACTACGCACTCCAGCTGTGGTGCCTGGAGGTGTTTGAGCTGGAGGTGGTAATGAATGTAGCCTAATTTGTACATACAGTGCCCAGCACACTCAGATTTCGAAGTTCATCTCTGTGTTGCCTGTTGTGTTTGCTGCAGTGATGAAATTTGAATAGTTTAATGCAAACCTGTTGCTGCTAAGAGGTTAATTTAAGGAATATTTGCATCGTTCAGTCATCTTGAAAGTCCCTTACCGAGCATGTGTCCTACGAGGCTCTGACTGGTTTGTTCTAAGTAAATTTATACAGTTAAAGGGGCTGAAACTGAGCAGGAGGCTTATTTTTTAAATATCAGTGACATATACTGTACCTTTCCAACTGTTAGATTGGCATCACTTATTTTACTGAGATCTGCCCCCTTTCCCAGCAGTGCAGGCAGTTCTATAGCTGCAAGAAGCTCCTGTAGATCAGAGCTGCCTTCTATTGTTAACTCAGGCAGTGTTAATTTAATTTCTCTGCAGAAAAGAGAGAGAGAGAGAGGGAGACAAGTGAGTGTGTGCTCTCCACTATGAAATCATGGTGTTTGGGCAGTCCTGGGGCACGGGCATGTGAAAACAGCCACAAGAAGTGTTTGGTATGTGGGGACAGACAACTACAAAGGGCCAATGGGCATCATGTTACTGTTTCCAAGTGGGAAGTCACCCTAAATCTGCCCTGGGTACGCTATTAAACCCCAGATCATCCCACTTCATGGGTCCTGCGTTGTCACCTGCAGAAAGGCACTTGCTTGTTTCCTTGAACTACCCCCAGAGAAAAAGCCGATGGCACCAAAGTCAAGCTCCCTCGGCATGAGGTCCGCTGCATTTGCAGGTGTTTCTCTTTGTGCTGGGTGTTAAACCCTCCCTGGCAGGATCCGACCCCGGTCAGTGAGCAGGCAGGCATGCATGGTACACCCTGTCCCATTCGTCCCTACAGCAGGGTGCCCGTGCCCGTGCCCTACCTTGGGGACAGCTGCTGAAGCCAGGCTGACGACTGCGACAGCAGCTCCGACTCCACGTGCTCCAGGTCGCTGCTATTGACGGGCTGCAGCAGCACCAGCAGCGCGGTCTTGCTGATGGGGACTTCCACCACAGAAAAAGTCCCGCTGGCATCAGTTTTGTACTTGAACGTCCCTGGGACTGACAACATAGGGACCAAGACCTTCGTGTTTGAATCCACCCAGAACTCCTGAGGCTCTTTGAGCCGTGAGGCTTGCTTAATGTTCACTGAAAAACAGATTGAGAAAGAAATTGATTCTTCTCTTTCTTCACTCCTTCCCTCTGCCCCTTAGCTGGTATGTATGTTTGTTTAAAAACAACACACTGTGCATTAGACAAGGGCTGTGTGTATAAAATCATGTTTAGCTACCGTAAACTTACGTATCCTGCCTTTAACGTGCCTTCTGGTAGCATCAGACAGAGGCTGGTGCAGGCTCACAGCACAGGGACCACGACCATCATGACTGCGGCCAATTCTGTTATATTTCTACTGGCTTTGTGCCCTTTCCTGGGCACATTTCTGCTTGCTTGGTTGCCTGCTTCCTCACAAGCTGCCCCATGGCTCCAAGTTGGCTTGCAGGCCTACACGGAGGGTCTGCTGGGATTTTCTCTCCATCCCTCGAGTGGCAGCGATGGCACCTTTGGGAACACATCCATCAGGGCCAGCCTGTGCTGCAGGAGCACTCTCAGGCAGCCGGGTGGGCTCGGGAGAGGGAAGGGAAGGGAAGGCAGCACGAGCTCTGGCTGAGGTCTCACCCTTGGCGATCTTACGAACCAAAGCAATGGGAAAGGTAGTAAGCATAACACCGAAGTGTTGATTGAGCCAAGGAGGTTAAAAAGGACGTACCTGAACGCTTGCTAAACCTTAATATAAATTTCTTACCCAGTTCACAAGTATGGGAAGCCTTGCTCTCACCTCCCGCTGCTTCTGCGCAGCTTTGCATTTCAACATGTTATCTGCTCACTGCCATAGATCAGTGCTGCTGCCCAGTTAGACAAATAACCCTATTGGCATTAAAGAAACTACTGCCATCAGCGAGAAATGCTGTGCAATCCTCTCTGATTGACCTTCCCACACTTTTCCTAATCCTTAGCTTCCTGGACAAGGAAAATTTCTCGGAAGCCATCTCCCTCCACCTCTTCCCCGTTGCCCTTGCTGGCCCGTGGCAGGGTGCAGGCAGGACCCCCGGCACAGTGGCAGGGAGCAGGGCACTGTCCGTGGAGCAGCGATCCAGCCGTTCATCTGAGCCCTTCCCTCTCGCCGCTGGTCAGGCGTGACTGTCTCCTTCTTTCCCGGAGCAGAGCCGTTCCCCGTCCTCCACCCAGCCTGCCCCCGAAACGAGCAGCGCTGCCTCGTACCTGCCAAGCGGACGTCCACCACAAACAGCAGGTTGGCGGATGGGTCGATGTCTGTCAGTAAGCACTTGCTTCGCCCCTCGCTTTTGGCCTCCACGAAGGCGTTTATTTGCTTTGCTGCCTCGCTTGGGTTTGTAAAGTCAACAGCTCGGGCGTAGAGAGCATCGGCGGAGGGGAGCAAGTCCTGCACGAACAGTTGGGACAGAGGTACGCCGGGGGCAGAGAACAGGCAGAGCGTCTTGGAAAAGAGCAGCTCCTTGTCCCTGCTCTTGACAAGGCTTTCAATCGTCCTCAGGCTGGAAAGGACTTTGTGTCCGTCCACCCTGGAGGTGCATTCAGGGTCCCCGGAGGGGGGAACAAATCCCAGCAAAACTTGCAAATCAGCTGCCGTCTGGTTTGAGGCGCCCAGGTAGAAAGACACCAAGGAGCTGTAAAGACTGGTTGGGGACAGGAGCACGTTTTGGCCCCGCTGTGCTTTCCGCAGCACGCTGTAAAACCGTGCAGCCAGGGTATCCACAAGGTCCTTCATGTAACTCAGTTTCTGCCTCCCCGAGCCGCTCAGGCTCGGGGCTTCCAGCTTATCCTCGTCATTCAGGTGGTCTTCGTAGGCAGGTGTGGTTTGGGACTTGATGGAGATGGGGACAAAAGTTTTCTTTCCCTCCTGGACCAGGCTTTCTAGTTCCTCACAGGTACTCTTGTTGAAAGAAAACAAATTGAAAGGGTGGACGTAGACCCGGTCACAAGTCACTGCGGTGAGGCACACCAACAAACAGAGAAGACCTGCTGCCGGGTTCATGTTGAAAAATTGCTTCCAAGGTGTCTGCTGAAAGAAAAAGTGGGGAGGAAGGAAGACTGATCAGCCTGTTATAAATACAGTTTCTCTTACTCGCAAGGTGAGGTGCTAGTATTGCGTTGGAGTTACAAAGGCAGGAATTTCAGTATTTAGTGCTGGCTGGTCTGACTCTGCCCCCTGAAAAGCCCACGGTGAGATGGCCACCAGTTTCAATGGCGGCAGGTGGGGAAAGGCGAAGCACAGATTTGCCTCCATTACCCGCTGCAGTACCCTAACGATTTAGCACGGGAAGCATTACAGTTGGGTATGCCAACTGGTTAGGCTTGCAAACTAAAGTGTGCTAGTTCTGGCAAAACATTATAATAATGCAACTATATTGCTTCTGGGACCTGGCCAGAGCTGTCTCTGCGAACTGCTGCACTAAATCTTGCTGACACATGGACAGGCTAAGCGATTTGCCTGCTGTTAAGCGGGAAGTGGGTTTGGAAACCAGGTCTCTTAAGGTCCAACCACTGAATGATCCCGCTTTGTATGTCTAGTCAGCATAACACTTGGCACTAGCAGAGTTTTCATAGCCCGGTGCAAACATTCATTCTAGCTTCTAGGCAAACACACTCAAGGCTTCCTTATACAAATGTGCTAACGGTGAAACCACCTTCTTTATCTGAATACAGAGTTGGAAGGGGTAAGCTGAGTTTTGCTCTACTGTACAGGCAATCTTCTCCTGCGCTAAAAGAAAGACCACCTGCTCCTCTTGTTTTTCCTGAGGAGTAGAGAATTTTACTGGATGTGGATGTCACTGGTGTTTAGCACAAAGGCTCTGATATGTATTGGGAGTGAGAAAGTCATGGGCACACATACACACACATACACATGCAAAAGTGCTGACAAAATTTGCATTTGTATAATTCTCACTTTTCCTACATTCAATTTTTTTATAACTAATAGCTCAGCTGTACCTTCCCTGGATTTCTAGTATACAACTTTGAATTTCTGTATTTGAAATCCAAATGTGCTGGAAATTATGCATCTATAACACTTATCATTGGCCAAAACGCTGTTATTCAGAGCTGTATTTTTATTCTACTACTCATTTCTTGTTTATTGTGGCTCTGTTCACCCTCTTTGGCCCTTTCCAAGCTCTGCAGAGCTCGTTGGATGGGCAAAATACTAACAGCCTTGCCAGTAATCAAGCTCTGCTCTCCGCCTTCTTTCTGCAAGGTTCTTTGAGTCGCGCCAGCCTGTCAGGTATTGTAATTCTGGTAGCCTGAGCCTTTTGAAAGGACACAGTGCAATGTCTGTCTCACCGACACTTTAATTTACACAGGGTGGAAGTGTCTGGGTTTAAATCCAGCCGTTCAAGACCTGGCACCTTCCCAGCCTGATTTACGATGTATAACCATATTCATTTCACTGAGGGATCCCCAAGTGTTTCATGCCTAATAATACCCCAGTTTGCAGTATCACCGCTCTCTTGCAAATACAAAAACTGAGATGTGCAGATGCTTGGTAATTAGCCATACCTTGCTAAGTACATATGCCTGCTAACGTGCACATCTACTTTCCCAGGCTGTAGGCTCCTATCTGACAGCTTGGTTTGCAAATGGAGTTTCTGTTGTTGTGATGGTCCCTCGGGATGTCTGAGCATCTTCCTAGTGAGTACCTGCACATCAGGCCTGAAACTATTTGCTCCCCGGAGGCATGCAGGGGAGGCCCTGCTGTAGGTCTCCAGCCCTCTACCTTCATCCAGGGATTGCTCTTCCCCATTAACTCCCACCCCATCCTCCAAATTAGCGTGTAGGCAGCGGCAGTCGGTGCTGCTGTCCCCTCTGCTCCCTGCTCTGTCTTTGCCTCCCCAGCCCTGCTGGCAGCAGCTGACATGCATCACAGAGCTTCTTCATTGCTTATGACCGGTTAAAAAATTGTCTTGGGAGGTGCCTTCCTAACTTCATCCTCACAGTTAGCCCAGCCACAGTGCTAGTGCATTTCTAGACTACTCGCTGCATTTTCCAGATTGGGACAGCTCAGGAAAACAAACCAAAAAGCCACAAGTTAGAGGCACTGCCCTTCCCACCCTGTCATCTCCATCATACAATTCTGTTGAAGGATTTCTTAATCTGTCCTGTAGCAGCAGGGAGGATGACTGTGCCACCCAGTCAGGCTGTGCCATTAGGCACCACTGGTGCCCGCTGGTTACTTCTCTACAGCTGCCAGAGCTGCCATGCCAGCTCTTCTCTCATGAGCAGAAGTGAGAGGAGCAGTTCTCACTACCAGCACTTACACTAAGCCCCATCTGTGGAAAGCTTTTCCCTAAAGAACTCAGCCCCGAGGGTTTCAGAAAAAGCATGAAAACCTGAGTTGAAAAACTGGCATTCAGAGCAAATCCAGTGAGCGTGCTTACTCGCCTCCGTCCTGGTGTGTGCGGCCCCTCCGATGCCGTCCCCCCTCGGGCAGGCTCCTCGCGACACCTCTTCTCCCTGGAGCAGGGTGATGTGATTGTGGATGGATTTATGCCCTTTCCACGGGAGGGCCCTTTCTACCTGCCTGCAGTGGCATTGCGCAAAGCTACTTTACATCACAGGCTCGGGGGCCGAAAAAAGTTAGCTCGGACCAGACAGGACCCGATGAAACCTGGGCACGGCTTAACACCAGCTGCATAGAAAGTTCCAGGGGGGATACACAACCTTTAACCGGACCCAGCACATCTGCATAGCCTGCAGTTACACATTTACTAAGGCAGACACAGGTGGTTTACTATGCAGAAGAACTGATTATAGGACCTGAAAATAACTCAGCTCGTTTTGTGCCAGACTGAAAGGAACACAGATTTCTTTGTACCTGTATTTGGTGTACAGTCAGACCAGATTTTTTCTTGGATAAATTGACTTTAATCTCTGCCTTGCAGCCTGGGTACCCATCAGTGAGTGGGACATGTACACTACTGCAGAGTAAAATGATTAAGCTCTCAATTTTTACCTTTTCATTCCCTCTTGATCTATCCAGAAGATCAAAAGTTTGTTCTTTTTCCTCTTCAAAACAAAATGTGTTGAAAAGGAGAGGATGAAATATAGATGGATTAGGTTGCCAGAGCCAGAGCACAGAGACTCCATCCCTGCCAGGCTCAGCTTCCCAAGTCCTATTTGGCAAAAGGGGTGGGATTTGGAGTGCCCCTTCTTCCTCTTTAAGCAAATAAATGGTGTATCAAACTGGGAATGATGCATTTGGGCTAGACTGGGTCTCTTTCAGTACCCCTGTTATAGTTAGTAATTAAAATCGCATGGCTTTAATGGCAGTAGGGCTGATTTAACATCCATGCCCTGATTTTAGAGGGCCAGGCAGGCGTGGTTCATACTGTGGTGCCCAGTTATGTGTTGGGTTCAAGGAGAGAGCCAAGAGAGAGGAATGTTCTCAGTGTACCTGAGCAGTCACAGCTGGTGGAGCTGAAGGTGGAGACAGGGACAGCCGAATCCTGCCAGCCTGAGCACAGTGTGCCAGGTGCCTAATGCCAAAGGGATGGGAAATTTCTGTCTCTGCAGCCCTGCCCTTCACTGAAACAATCCGATTACCTTAGCTCTAACGAGGTCTGAAAGCGGTTCTGAGCACAGGCCCGTATGACATGCTATCAGCACACAAGGCTTAAACAGCTTGAAATATTCAAGGTGTTTTGTCCTCTTGCTGCCTGAGCATCTCAGTCAAGGCAGCATCTGGCAACAGAATAGTCCCTGAGCATTTATACCATCTCCAGACAGCTATAAAATGCGTGCAGCCCAGCCACAGATCCAGGCAATGGGAGAAGTAGTTCCTCCATTAAAACTGCATTTTGTTCAGCTAAATGCTAAGAGAATGAGCTAGGTTTCGGATGGCAATCCCCCTTCTTTCCCCTTTCCCCTGGAGAGTCCTTCCCGCGGGCAGGCTGGGGGAGAAAGCTGGTCCCTTCGAGGCCAGTGGAGGTGCGGGTGGGACGTGTGACAGCACAGCCCAAATCCGTGTCTCCTGCACCGCCAGCCACGCGGGTCCGCGTGTGGCACTAGGCACCCGTGGCATGCGCGAGTGGCCGGACCACGCTGTGCCTGTGAGCTATAGCTGGGCTGCTGCATCCTCCTGGGAGAGGCTTGAACACAGGGAAAAAGCAAACCCAGCATGATACTCTCAGCATCAAGGACACAGAAACGAAGGCTGTTTCAGTGAAGGGCACCTTTGTGTCTGAAAAGTATCCTTATTAACAAGAACTATTGACTTTGGCTAATAAGCTACAAGTGATGCTAATAACATATACTACAGCTGCCAGACTTATGTGTTTGCTGTGGACAATAAACACTGGAAAAGGAAATCACATAACCCGCAGCCACTGTATTTTTTTTCCTTAAATCATTATACCTCTGTGCTGTAGCACCCAGAGAGCATTACAGTTTGGGTATCTCCTGCTTCGAGCTCCCCTGCAGACCATGACCAAGTCACGCTGCAGCTGGTGATCTCCTTTTGCTATAGGTACCAGCCCCAAGTCAGGCATCCCTGGCTGCAGGGGATGCTGCCCCGCAGAAGAGGGGGAGCAGGAGGCACCTGAACAATAATTCCAATGTGGTGCTCTGGTGGCTCTGTCACATAAAGAAAGTTCAGTTTTTAGTTGCAAGTTTTCAGGGTTTTCAGCCAAGATGACTTTTGGGGCTCTTTTGGTGTTTGTGCCCTCAGTTCTATTGTTTTCTGTTGACAAAAAATTGTCAATGTCTTTGAGGAGCTCAGGAGTCTTTCTTCTGTCCCCCCCCCGCAATCAATAAAGTCATCAAATTAAAATACCCAGCTTTCTCCAGAAAAAAAAGTTTCACCAGAAAATGTTCAATGACCCACTTTCACCACAGTGCTCCTCCTGTTTCAGACCACTGGGAATTCAGCTGGCTTCAGTAATGAGGGAGAACCTTTGATTTCAGCTTACATTTATGCCCTGCTACAAAGCTCAGAGACAACTCCCCGCTAATTTTCTGGTCACTTATGCTCACTCAATTAAT